TCGGTCAATCCATCTGTSAATCCMTCWATCAGACCATCWGTCAATCCCTCTGTCAATCCCTCTGTCAATCCTTCGATCAGACCATCTGTGAATCCATCTGTCAATCCTTCTGTCAATCCCTCAATCAGACCATCAGTCAATCCATCGGTCAATCCATCTGTCAATCCCTCAATCAGACCATCAGTCAATCCATCGATCAATCCCTCCGTCAATCCATCAGTGAATCCATCAATCAATCCATCGAACAACCCCTCTGTCAATCCCTCCGTTAGTCCATCGGTCAGACCATCGGTCAATCCCTCAGTCAATCCATCTGTCAATCCATCAATCAATCCCTCCGTCAATCCATCGATCAGACCATCGGTCAATCCATCTGTTAACCCATCGATCAATCCATCGGTCAATCCCTCAGTCAATCCATCGATCAACCCATCGGTCAATCCTTCAGTCAATCCATCGATCAGACCGTCAGTCAATCCCTCAGTCAATCCATCGATCAATCCATCTGTCAATCCCTCTGTCAATCCATCGGTCCAACCATCAACGACACCATCCTACAGACCAACATGGCAACCATGGAACCCTGACCACCAGGTCACCATCGAGCCCAGCCCCTTCCCCGGAAAGCTCCAGTCTGGCCGCCAGCTCAGCAGCAGCCGTATCAACATCAACTACGACTACCAGGAGGACGTTAATCGCAGGGAGCGCCTCGTTAAGCCCAACCAAGAGTTCCTCGACGGCCTCACCGCAACCTTCAACACCCAACCCTTCTTCCACATGGCCACCGAGCTCACGACATCCGATCAGTTCAACATCACCATCATCACTCAGACCACCATTGACCGTCTGGAGCGTATTGCCTGGATGGCCGACCGCTGGTTGGCACCCCTCTCCGTAGCAATCTATGTCAAGGACTTTGAGGCCGAGCTTCCCCAGCTCAAGAAGATCATGGCTGCCCACCCTTCGCTGACCAAGTTTGCCGACATCCATTTGCTGCACGCCAACAAGACTCGGTACCCAGTCAACAACTTGCGTAACCTTGCCATCATTAACTCGCGCACAGACTTTGTCCTGGTGATGGATGCTGACTTTATCATCCCATCCGGATCGTACGACTACCTTGTGCCCTACGTCCATGCCGCCCAGACCCTCCAAGACCGTGTGGCCTTTGTCTTTCCTTCCTTCTCCTCATGGCTCGAGCCCCAAAACATGCCAAACAACAAGAACGACCTGCTCTACCTCATCAACGAGGGTTTGATCACACCATCAAGTAAGTGTTTCTGCGCAGATCCAAACATGATTGATTGATTGATTGAATGACTAACACATACATCCATCCATTAACAGACCTGGATGTGTGCCCCAGGTGCCATGGACCAACTGACTATGCCAAATGGTATGCCGCCGAGAGCGTGTACCTGGCCGAGTACAGGTGGAACTACGAGCCATACTTGTTGTTTGATCGCAAGATGGTGGAGCTGTTTGACGAGCGCTTCAAGGGCTACGGCTTTGACAAGAACTCGCACGTCTTCACGATGGCCGTCATGGGTTTCAAGTTCATCGTGCAGCCCGATGTCTTTATCATCCACGTCAACCACGAGCAGGCGAACTGGGAGGGCAAGACCGACCTTAGCGAGCAACTCTGGGATGCTCTCGGCGCCGTATGCGACCTCATCCCCGAGGTCAAGGTCCGTTACAACCAGGACAGCACGACCAGAGCGTTCAATGAGCCACTTCCCGCCGAGTGTGTCTCCTACGACTGGTTCTTCACCACTGATTAATCATCTCCATTAAACCATGAGCATCATCGTCTGTTGTTCAATCCTATTCCATCCATACGATTGGAATCATCCCTCCTATCTCTTTATCTCTTTAGAGTATTTGTTTGAATGAGTGCCAGTGTGAGGGGGAAGGGACTTCACAGTTTGTTTGTTCCCGCCCATTTGTTCACACAACCCCATTTGTTCACATCTCTGGCAAACGCAACTTCATTCATCTCATCTATTCATTCATTCATACTCAAGAGATAGAGATAGAGATACATCGTATATCTAAATATAAATATATATATCAAACATGTCATTGAACGAAGAAAGTTCATTACATGATGTTGTTGAACATCAACAAGAACAACAACAACAACAACAACAGCAAGAGCGTATAGACAATATAGGATTGAACAATGAGCAGCAGCAGCATAAGCACGATGTTAATGATGTTCAACAAGATGATACACCTGCCGCAGCAGTAGCAATAGCAGCAGCATCAATTATAGAAAAAGTCAATGATAATGTTCCAATTGTAAAGGATGATAATGAACCAGTGAGCTCTCAATCGCAAGGTCCAGCTCCTGTTGTTGAGCCTACATCATTGGTACCATTGCAAACAGATACATTGGACTCAACTGCTCCACCTACAACATCAACAACATCTACAACTGCTACAACTGCTACAACTGAGAAGAAACAGACAAAGACAGCAGCATCAACAACAACAACACAGACAGTGGTGACACCAGTAAAGAGGACAAGTGATCTTAGTCGACCTACTGCTGCATCATCAGCAAAGACACCTTCAACCTCGACATCTACAACGACCTCATCACTGACACCTAGACGATCATCAACTGCCAGTGCCGCCACGACAAAGTCGGCCACTATGTCATCGACAATGTCATCTCGTACCACATCCACGACCACACCATCTTCGGCACAGAAGCGATGGTCCGTCACTGGAGCCAATCCAAGTAGTTTGACGCCACTCAGGAGCGTGACCTCGTCAACATCATCGAGCTCATCCTCAACCACATCAACATCAACGCCGTCCAGGACAAGGACTTCGACTACAACGACATCTACGCTCACATCCACATCGACTCCAACCAAATCAACGACAAGTAGTAGTAGTAGCACAGGTAGCACTCCCAATCACAGAACACCGACTCGTTCAACAATGTCATCGCTTTCATCGATCTCACCATCACGATCAACAACACCTCAGCGTGGATCCACATTGCCAAAGTCATTCTCGCCAACAACAACAACGACCAGCAGCAGCAGCAGCAGTAGTAGTAGTACGACGCCAAGCACATTGAGGACACCTCCAACATCGACTGCACGATCACTCTCAAGCTCATCGCTTCCAAGACCTTCATCGACTTCAACATCATCCACACCACAGTCACCTGCGAATGGCTCATCGATGACCTCCTCAAGGAGTCCGTATCTTCCCCGATCAACAGTGTCCCCTAGGTCCTCCACTGGATCACCTACCTCAACGACGACGACGAGCACATCAGGCACACCTTCGTCGTCGACCTCTACACCAGGAACGAAGAAAGATGGCGATGGTGGTAGTCCCACAAGCACGATATCTTCATCCACGTCGACTCCCTCGTCCAAAGTTGGCAGGTCACCTGCACTGACATCATCGCCACCATCATCTCCGCTGCCAAATATTGGTCGATCGCTAAACTCGGCCTCTGTCACCAACGGAACATCAGCATCGTCATCATCGTCATCGTCTTCCTCGAGCACTCCAATCAAACGTCTTAGCACGATCAATACCACTTCAACTTCAACATCGTCGCCTTCATCATCGCCGATTGTTATCAGAAGGAAGTCATCACCATCAACTCTTACCAGCACTCCAACCACCTCGACTACCTCAACAACATCGACCCCCTCCACCCCTTCCAAGGAGCCAGCAAAGAGGAGCAGCCTCTCCACGACATCCACAACCTCGACCACACCGTCCAAACCAAGGACAACTATGAGTGGCACCAGTAGCAGTAGCAGTAGATCATCAAGCACATTGTCATCAACACCTGTCAAGTCGACAACATCTGGCTCATCAAGCAGCAGCAGTAGCAGCACAATAAGAAAGCCACCATTGCCATTGTCAAAGAAGTCATCATCGTCGACATCACTGCCAACCTCAACTAGGACCACCACCAAGTTGTCACCATCAATACAATCACCAACTACAATCTCGCCAAGGTCACCATCACCAAAGATCTCACCAACTAGTGCCAAGCCCCCTATCCATCCACCAACAGAGGAGATCACACCGACTACTGTAGAGAAGAAGGTAGTAGAGGTATGTTGTTGTTGTTGTTACCGCGCTGTCTCGCTCATACTCACACACTTACTCACTCGCCCAATCAATAGGAGGTCAAGACTACAACTGCGCCAGAGCCAGAGAAAGAGGGCGCAAATGGCAACCACAGCAACAACATTGATATACTCCCAAAGACATCAGAGAGCAATATCAATGCCAATGGCAATGGACTGATAAAGGACACAGACGTAAAGAATGAAGAAACAGAGAGCAGTGGCAATGGAGCAACAAAGACGACACCAGTCAAGACCTTTGTTCCTCCAGTCTTGGTCTCATCGCACTCATCTCCATCACTCCAAATACCATCAAAGGACAAGACAGAGACCAACAACTCCTCCTCCATTGCCATCCCTTTGCCAACACTGACGCCGCTCTCAGTGTCCAGTGATGGTGTACAATCACAGAACTCACCAAAGTCTGTCTCAGCCCCATCCACAGTGCCCGCGCCATCACCCGTCATGTCCAAGAGCCCCCTGGCACAGATCCAGCGCGACATTGTCGAGGACACCAGACGCATCTGGGCCAAGCCGTTCTCACAGACACCCGTGGGAGTTGATCTGCCGCGACTGGCCTCCTGTATTTCTATTTATGAATCGAGCACCAACCCTGGCGTCGACCTGGCCAACAAGGGCAATGCAAAGAAGACAGTGTACGACGTGCTGCAGGGCATGCGTGAGCTGATGGAGCCAGGCTTCGTCGCAGACGACGCTTTCAAACAGACCTACGAAGCCATACCAAGGAATGAGGACGGCACATTCAACCCCAACGACCTGGCGGTCTACCTGGCGACAGAATACAACGAGTCGATAATGAACCTGCTCAAGGTGTGCAGCCAGGCCATCATCGCGCCGTCAGTGCTCGAGCTCCGTCTGGGCATATGTCCGCGCACGCTCATGTTCAAGGACGCTGGCGGCTGGAACATCAAGTTGGCGCGCGACGACACTACAGGCGGCATCGTCGTGTCGCACTGCAAGAAGCAACAACATATGGACCTTCGCAAGGCGGAGGAGTACTTTGAGTTTGTCTGGGAGTTGGAGATCGTGTTCAACAAGGAGGTCACCCAGATGAAGCATGTATCATTATCGATCTTGGAGCTGAACTATGGCGAGAAGACACGTCAGGACAAGAAGGACGAGTATCTTGCCATCTTTGCCAATCATCTAAAGAAGTCCAAACAACAACAACAACCGGAGCAAGAATCAACTTCCTCTTCTTCTTCATCACCTCCAACAGCAGCAACAACAACAGATACTACCTCTTCTTCCATCACCACCCCATCACCAACTCCATTTCCAGTGCCATCAGTTACATCAATAGAGCAACAACAGCCACAATAAATCTTGGTTGTATGTATCTCTCTCCAGTGCGAGACTCTCGTTGAGTATTATTCAAACTCGATAGTGATGATGGGTTTGTGTCGTTTCACCATCTTTTCCTTTTTAGTTAACCACAACGACCAATGTAAACAAAGCACTCTGTTTGTTGTTCCTGTCTCTTGTTTATTTGTTTATTGGACCAACATTGATATTATATCGTATCTCATTACACTTTACATCTTCATCTTCAACTTCGACATCAATGAATTTATCCACATCCTCTAAACCTCAGAATGCTATTGAAAATGTCAATGGAATCAAAGGATGGTCTAACAAGATATATTATTTGAAAGAGGTAAAGATATGAATTGATACACATAAATCAAAAGTGGATACTAACAAGTGATTATAAATTAGATTGGTTATGTTCCAGAGGGAGGTGTTGTTCTAGGATCAATAGGATTTGAGTCTTATCTTTCAAGAAGACTGAAGGATGGGGAAGGCTCAAGAATATGGTTTGAAGAAGGAAAAGCAATGATCTATGAAGTGAATTCTGTGGAACATGAGCGCTGTGCCGAACTATTTGTTAACCTTATTAGAGATGAGGCGGTTCAACATCATCAATTGTTGGACACTGCAGGATCTCCAACCCTGATTCTTCAAAATCATACTTGTGCAGAACCTGAACAAAGTTTAGACCCGGGACGACCGAATGTCAATCTTTTACATTCGTAAGACGGCAGTGGAACTCCATATCCTACATTGGTGATTGAAACTGCCAAGTCACAGTCACTTCCAATGTTGAATCAGAAGTGCTTGGCTTACTTCATTGATCGTGTCGCTGCTGTATCTGCAGGGGTTCCTGCAGTTGAAGCTGTGCCAAGCACCATCAGAATAGTCATTGGTATCAAGATCTATCCGAGACATAACGGTTACTTTGGAATGATTGTTTTATACTATCGGAATGGTGCTGCTGCCAATCCAATAAGGATCATCTCTTGTGGAACAACATATTTGGATCCCATCAATACTATCCCAAGAGTCCGTCAGATATCACCAGATGGTTAGGCCCCACATGGCTATGAAGGAGTAATGCCTCAAGATGGTTCCCCTCCAGCCATCATAGATCATTTAAATCCTCTGAATCTGCATAGTCCTTGTAATCATCATCTTATTCCTCTTTACCAACTCCAGATCCCAACAGCTGAATTTTTCAATGGTGTAGATCCTCTACCTCCAACGTTTCCCGCATTCTTCTCCGTCGATCTGTATTCAATCCAACAAAAAGCAGAACGATAAATCCACCAACCAAAAGTAGAGGAAAACCAAGTCATTGTGGAAGAGGAGGTTTAGAAAGAATACGACGAGGACTACGTAGATGAAGTGGAAGAGGACGATGATGTCTAGTGAGTTCTATAAAACATGATCAGTTTCCAAAGTTGATTGTAATCATAGGGATCATATTGCAAGGACAGTTCATCAAACAAACAAACAATCAATCAATCAATGATCAACATTCATCGTTTATTAATGCTTCGATTATTACCAGTTGGATACTCATGTCAACTTGGCAGAATGGCACCTGTCTGCCTTGTTGGAGACAGAGGTTCTGGGCTGGTCAACTCGAGATGGACAACGTGGCAGCATGGCGGACTTCTGACTAGTTGGTGATAGTGGTCGGTTAGCGTCGACATCTGGTCTGAGTCAGAGGTTCTTGGCGGCCGCCATCTTGGAAGCATGGCGGTGGTCAGCATTGCGGCAGAGATTATAGACATCAAGGTGACAGAGGTCAAGCAGCATGACTGCACCTGGCAGGGTCAACACGGCGAGAGAGGACGGCAGCAGAGGTCATCAACACGGCGACAGAGCACGGCAGCAGAGGTCAGCAGCACGGCAGCAGAGGTGAACATTGCGGCAGAGTCAGCACAGCGGCGTTGTCGGCATGAATGGCAACAAAGAGGGTCAAAAAGGAGGGCCAACAGCACGGCGGCAGAGGTCAGACAGCATGGCGGTGCAGCACTGCGGCGACAGACTAGAGTAGACAGAGGTTCGGTCCGGGTCTTCAAGGTAACAAAGGTTCAAGACATGTTTGTATATGTGTATAAGTGTATAAGTAAGTACAAGTAGAAGTAAGAGAGATAAGAATGAAGGAGTCAATGACAAAAGTTAGTGGTATTTATAGCTGTCTATGTCGAACAATGAGTATTACACTCCCCATACAACCAACCATCATTGACGGATTTTGAAACCCAGCCGTTACCATTCGAAAATTTCAAATTCAAATCCCAATAACTGACACCAACTTACACAAGCTTATGAAGTTCAAATGATAATTATGAAAGGAAGTTCATTCAATGGGTAACACAAGATATTATGATGATTTATTGAATCCAAACTCAACTGTCATGCTTTCATTTATTCATTCATTCATTCTTACAACGACACCAGCCTTTATAATATATATAATCAAACATTCAATTGCATTTATGTGTAATGTAATACAATGGTTACCCAAACAATGACATGACCGAATTGGATTGTATCCCAGAAGGCCATCCCATCCATCTATGTCATGATGACAGATGTTACCGCTCAACTAATCAAGTCTGCTATTCTGGTCTGTGCTGTCTGATCTCGTTCTTCTTTGATGCAGGAGGAGCCCGGGCGCTTGATTATGTCGACATAGCCCCAAGCCCATCTTGCCTGTGATCGGACCGACCAGACGGTTCTCTGGCCTCTGGATCCAGTTACAATCTCGGTTACTACCAGTCTCTACCATGATACACGCAGCCTGCCGAGGTCCATCACCGAGGAGGTCTTCCACAATACAGGGCTAGCTCATCGACGGTCTGAGTGCACCTCAGGAGGTGAGAGTTGAGGGCAAGAAGGCTGCCACATCCCCATGAACAGCAACGTCCAAACGTCGTAACGGCAGGTCACAGTGGTCAACTAGTTGGATCGAGTGGGATGGTATGGTCGCTCTGTGTCATTCATATCTACAGACAGACAGCTCGTTGGTCGAGAGTCCATCACTATCAATGAATCCTTAGGGCTTAAGGACTGAACAACATTGTCCGATTTGACAGCAGTGGCGACGGAGAGGAGGAGTCCACCAACTTCCATGTCCAGTCATTTGCAAGCATCAGGAATTGTGTAGATAACAATTGCGAGACATCAAATGGGAAATCACTATTTCACACAGCCTTAACGACATTGGACCAGACTTGATCAATAGGTGGACATGGAGCTCAACTTGTGGAATGGACATGCATCCCCAACGAACACTCACTCAGTCAGTCAGTCAGTCAGGAACATCGAGAACCACCTCGGCTCATCTTGGAAACGAGACCGCCCACCAACATCAAGATGGTGAGGACGCCATCGCTAATGAGATAATCCCATGGCAGAAATGAATCAACGCTTAGTTGTGCATTCACAGCAAGATCAAGCACATTCATCCTCATTGCACCCAATTGCAGCGGCAGTCCGGCTATATCTCAGACACACCGCAGAGCCGCTGGAGCAGCATCATACCGGTGCACGAGTCCCAATCGACGATACTGAGAACAACCTGGACAGAAGATGTCATTATCTCCAACTCACTCGATCACCATGCTCGACTCAATGATCACCGTTATTGGAGCCATCACATCTCGATGATGGTGTCTGATTGATGCAACACCTTCAGCAAGGAGCCATTCAATGCAGTTTCTACAACAATACACACTCAATCGATTACCTGGACAATCAATCTACCTTGAACTCATCTTATAATGACCTGCATCAGCAGTGACCATTGAACCAACACTCATCCAGGCAGTCAGTCAATCAGTCAAACAACCAGTCATTCACAGCAAGATAGAGCAACACATCCAATTGAGGTTGAAGCGATACACTCATTCAATCGTCACGGCCCACTACACTACCTGATCACATGCAAGCTCATCAAGATCACAATGGACACCAGAGCAGAGTCACAACAAGACTCATTCATTCATTCATTCATCAGAGTATTCAAGTTGGAACGATCGTTGGGCTCACTAAGCCTCAATCAAGGTCATCAACTATCACTGCCTCAATCAAGGCTCATCAACGTGAACTTCATTGATGATGACACTGAGATGGTATTGAGTGATACAAATTCAAATGGACCGTTAAATGGTCAATCTGTTAATTAAATATTTAAATATTTTATTCAAAATGTGTCTTTAGGTCTCTGTGTGTGTGTGTGTGTGTGTGTGTGTGTGAGTGTGTGTGTATGAGTGTGTGAGTGTGCGGGAGTGTCTCTATCCACTCACAGACTCTCTCATTGCGGTGAATGTCCTTGGACAAGTGGGCATTGACATCATTCATTACCTTATCACTCTACTACATGTATGTACACTTATATAACATTATTACTATGTTATTATAATTCTATCATCATTCTATTTCATTATACTAACATTGATTCACCAACTATTCATCAATCAATCAATCAATTTCAATCTATAATATCAATATCATTAATATCATAGACTCTTTACTTCGGCTATTCCCAAACCATTATCTGCAATACAATAATATCTTTCTCAACAGTGTTTTCCAACGCTACCAATCAATCAATCAATCAATAATGAATAATAATAATAATAATAATAATAATCAATATATATACAATCCAGCCAAACTCATTCGACCTTTGTTCAACAGGCACATACCCAAGAACTTGTTGCTGGCCGACTTAAATCACAGGGTCATCACCCTAATAAGGATAGACTTTGACAAAAAAACAGCAGTCATCAAAATGTACCCAATTCTAAGTTTATTCGATAGTCGACCAAGGACATTGTTATTGGGCGAGGAATCTTCTAAAAAGGTGATTTACACCCTTCTTGTGCGCACTGATGGAGTCCATGATCCCATTAGGATAACATATACACCACACAATGAGATCCATCAAACTCTATTCATTGGGAGGACAAACTTACCAGAGATCAACCAGTTGCCAGATCATCCCAATGGTCAACAGGAACCAATTCCAAATGGTAAGTATATATCAAATGAACTTGCATGCTACTGTCAAAAAATAATACTAACCATCCATTCAATTATCACCTTTGATGCTTCTCATCCATGTCACTCAAAGACATTGGCATCCAACAACAGCCACATGACCTCGGACCAATACCTGGAGACCAAGTGATGATGCCACAACCACCTAAACCATTCAATCATCCAGCCGTCCAAGCAGACCCAGGCCAACACCACCTAGGAATCAGATACCAATACCCACCATCACCAGATTATGAGGTGGATGAGCCTGTATTCTCTCCTCCGGTCCCTCACCTTTTCAACAAACAGTAATTCACCTCTATATATTTTGCCGTCGATCAAGCAGATGAGTGATGGGTAAAACCCAAATATCTCTCGGCTCGCGATTGAAACCAATCAACCACCAACAACCAACAACAACAACATATTCGATTACCAACGCACCAATCAGTGGTCCTACATCCATCACCCGAACCCAGATGACACAGTGGAGACGTTGTGATTCATTCACACGATGACCTGTCGTTGCGAGGTCTATTCCCTCCAAGTCATTCAGTGCCGTGCCAGTGCCGTGCCAGACCGAGTGCCATACCGCCGAGCCAAGCCAGGCCAAGCCGAGGTGGACCTTTCCAGGACCGAATACTACTAACATTTTCCTCCCATCACCATTTGGCCATCTCCGCAAGGAGGTGGCCGTGGCCCATCATGCAAGAGGGATGGGTCGGCCTGTCATGCAAGAGGGACGGGTGGGCCCATCATGTAAGAGGGGTGGGCACGGCCTGGGGTCTACACCTGTCGCTATTAGACTTTAGGCACGTCGAGACAGGTATGGCAGCAACTTTGGACTTTGAGAGTTTCTTCTCATTGTCACAAGTGCTGCCTTTTTTTTTTTTCAAGCCAAGGGCAGCAACCGTGCCCAGGCGACATCATTGAGTTGTACTTTGCCAATTGTTGTTATTCTCCTTCCAAGTCACACTTGTACAACTCCTGTTTTCATCGTTTATTAATACTTTGGAAACACTCGTCAACTTGGCAGGATGGCTGTGGTCTGTCAATGATCTGATGGCAACATGGCGGTGCGCTTGTCAGCGTGGCGTCTGTCCAGTTGGAGACAGATGTTCTGGACTGTGGTCAACTCGAGATGGACAACTTGGCAGCATGGCGGCGCACTTCTCATCGCGGCTGTCTGTCTGGTTGGAGTCAGAGGTGGTCAACGATGGCCCATCTTGTTGACATGGAGGCGGGTCAAAGTGGCAGCATTGTGGCAGTCTAGTTGGAGTCAGAGGTTCAGGGCTGTGGTCAACGTGGGAGCACGCCTGGCAGTCAGTCAAGTTGGAGACATTGGTTCATGGCTGTGATCAACGTGGCTGGCAACACGGCGACGGACCACAGAGGTTGACTCGGTGCAGAATGGGAGGCCGTGGTCATTCAGGACATCTTCAGTCTAGCAGAGACAGAGGTTCTGGACAACTTGGCAACATGGTGGACGACTGTACAGATGGAGATAGAGGTTCGTGGCTGTGGTCAACGTGGGAGCACGTCGGCAGTCAGTCAAGTTGGAGACGGAGGTTCTGGGCTGTGGACAGCTTGGCATTGGACAACCTAGCAGCATGGCGGTGTCAGAATGGCAGAGTCACAATGGGGCTGTCTAGATGTAGACAGAGGTTCTGGGCTGTGGTCAGTCAGGGCTCATGGCGACCTCATTCTAGATGGAGACAGAGGTTCGGGGGTGTGGACAACTTGGTAGCATGGCGGTGGTCAGCATGGCCGAGTCACAAAGGCGGCCGTCTGTCTAGTTGGAGACACTAACTTGGACAAGGACTACCCAGAGGTCTTCAAGGCACAAGGGAAGACAGAAGAGAAGGGAGAAGAGAATGGTGTAAGTAAGAAGAGTATAGGTGAGCAGCTGTGCGATCATTGGTGTAGTAGTACTCACTCATTGAGGGACAGAGGTTCAGGGCTAAGGTCACTCAAGGCAGCATGGTGGAGTCCGGCCGTCTGTTTCGTTGGAGACAGAGGTTCTGGGCTGTGGACAGGTCGTGGTCAGCATGGCCGAGTCATAATGGCGTTGGTCAACGTGGCAGCATGGCGGTCGTCTGTCTAGTTGGAGACACAGGTTCATGGACTCAGGCAGCAGTTGTCAACTCAGGCAACATGGCGGCAGTGATCAGACAGCATGGCGGCAGAGGTTAGGGGAAGTGGTCAGACAGCATGGCGGCGGTGGTCAGGCAGCTTGTTGGCAGAGGTACACTCTGGGCATCAGCGGCAGTGGTTCATGGCTGTGGTCAACAGCACGGCGGCAGTCAAGTTTGAGGCAGAGGCTCTAGACACATGGCGTCTGTCAATCTAGTTGGAGACAGAGGTTCTGGGCTGTGGTCAACATGGCTGTGGCAGCACGGCGGACGTCTGTCAAGATGGTGACAAAGGTTCATGGTCAACGTGGAAGTACGACGGCAGTCTATCAAGATGGAGACAGAGATTCATTGCAATATGGCTGCACGGCGGACGTGATTGAGATACAGATGGTGAACACTGACTTTGACAAGGACCACACAGCGGGCTTCAAGGCACAAGGTCAAGGAGAAGGCAGAGGAGAAGAGAGAAGAGAAGAAGAGGATAGTTGAAGTAAGCAGCAGATGGTGATGAAATTAGAAGTCATTTAGTACTCACTCATTGATTGATATCATAACTCAAACTCATTAGTAACTCATCAGCAGTAGTGAGACAACAAGGCATAACAACGTGGTGAGTGATACATGTCAATGTGTTGTTTATTATTGATATATTAGTATGAGTAAAAGCATAAGTATGTATATATATATGTATGTATATGTGTACAAGTAGGAGAGAGTGAGTACAATGCCAATGAGATGAGTGGTGACCCAGAGTCCGAGTGACATGTGGACCACATCGAACCAACGACCATTTTGTACTCAACCGTTATTTCGATTCGAAAGGGCGCTAATTTCAAATTCAAATTTACACCCACATTGAACTTCACTTTGTTTTATTGGTCAATAGGTGTTGTTGTGACTTCTGGTCAACCAAAACAGTTGGGGAACATTCCCAAGATATTTATTTGTGTTCATTGTATCCTTCACAACACTTCATTCATTCATACATCAGTACCTATTATATGTCTTCTCGTCATGACTCGACCAATCAATTAAGATTGGCAAGTGGACATGGACACCACTCATCCAATCAAGTCAACTCTGCTTGACTTCAATCTAACGTGTGCTACTTGATGCAGGAGCCAATGCTATTAACAGTCCTGTCTGTGATGCTGAGGACAGTCGGTCCGCCCGGTTCTGGTTCTCTAACTATCACTCCCAAAAGCCTGGATCACCAATTAATTGATCATCTTTCTCGGTCACGAGTCTCGACTAAGATACACGCAGCATGGCAAGCACTTGACTTCAGGTATAGACGCCTCTCCAGGAGTCATAATTCTTCATGGGGAATGCTTCAGCAACGTCCCAAAGACAACACTCAGAGATTGATGAAAGTGGACAAGTAATTGCTACATCGACCTCAATTCAAGATCCAACGACCAGAAGACCAAACAAAGGACTGTCGAGAGAAACGAAGTGTATGTATATATTAAACATTCAATTGATTGAGTTTCATTGATGACTAACCTGGCGCGTGGCAGACTTTCTAAATAGAGTTGAAGGGCAAGAGATCCCCAAAGAACACAGCAACATCCAAACGTGGTATTGGGTGGCCAAACTTCGTTTGACTGCCACTCGATGATGGTCACTCATAGATCGTTAGTCGAGAGTCGCATCACCATCAATGAATCCTCAAAGCTTTAGGATTGTGCAACATTTTGTATGATTAGACAGCATTGGTGACGAAGTCCACCAACATCAGTGAGGACAATGGCTAGACATCAATCGGGAAAGGCACCATGTATCACATCACAAAGGCAAACACATTTAGTCAACATGGCGCCAGTGAGAGAGACAATCTTGCGAGCAGGTACCAGTCCATCAACATTGTTTCACGCAGCGCGTTAACAACATTGGATCGAACCTCGTCCAATAGGTGTGGGAGCTGGAATGGCCAGTCAGTCAGTCAGATCGGTCACATCAAGGTCGAGCACATTAGTTCTCCATCGCCAGTTGGGATTGATGAACAAGACGCTAGGTCAACATCGATTACAGGCAAACACATCAAGACAAAACCTGGCGAACTCCAATCAAGCGACATGTATCACCATTCATACAACACCCACCCAGTCAGTCAGTCATTCAACCAGTAGTCTGTCCCAGCAAAATAGAACATAGGATCAACCCTCAGCCCATATTGGATGCTCTGACCTCATTCAATCGATTAATCAAACATACATAAACAGTCAGACAGACAGCTAGAGACATTGAGACAGACAAACAGACAGAACACCGATAACATGCAAGCTCATCAAGATCACAATGGACATCAGAGCAGTCTCTTACAACAAAGCTCATTCATTCATTCATCAGAATACTGTGAGTATCCAGTTGGAACAATCGTGCCTCAATCAAGGCTCATCAACGTGAACTTCATTGATGATGACACTGAGATGGTATTGAGTGATACAAATTCAAATGGACCGTTAAATGGTCAATCTGTTAATTAAATATATTTAAATATTTAATTCAAAATGTGTGTTTATATGTGTTAGTGTGTGTGTGTGTGTGAGGGTGTCACTACTCACCCACTCACAGACACTCTCATTGCTGTGAATGTCCTTGGACAAGTGGGCATTGACATCACTCATTACCATATCACTCAATTACATGTATGTACACTTATATAACATTATTACTAAGTTATTATCATACTATCATCATTCTAATTCAGAATACTAACATTGGTTCTCCCTCAATCAATAATATCAATCTAATATTTATAATTATTATTATTTATAGACTCTCTACTTCGGCTATTCCAAAACTATTATCTACATAACAATAATATCACTTTAAACAGTGTTTTCCAACACTACTACGCCTTCTTCAACTCGATTTATTATTATTATTACAATGCAATTTAATTATATTCAATCACTCTACCCACCAGCCAAGCCCCTTAGACTGTTGTTTGACCCGACAGTCCCCAAGACCTTGCTTCTGGCCACCAAAAAAGGCACAATCATCCGGAAGTTCAAGGTCTTCATTGACATTGGCGCGACACTTCTCATACTCCCATACGTCAAACCAATCAGACCACTGTTCGACAACAGGCGACCAAAGATTTTATTTGGAAAGGATCAAGATGGAGTCGGGTTCTCACGCAGGGTTCCTCTTGATGTCGCATTTGTCATTGCGAATACTGTCCCATACGCTCCTCTCAACCAGGAGAATAGTAATGTCCAACTCATTCACTGTATCTGTCTCAGGATATTACGATCGTTGCCTGTCTACCCCAGAAGGCAACCAGTATCCACCCCAAATCAAATGGGACCAAATCGTATGTTTACCTCAAATGAACTCATTCATTCATTGATTGAGTGATGTCTGTCTGTCTGCTGTCAAACCAAGTACTAACCATCCTCGTCCATGTCTTTTTCATCCAAGACAATGAAATCAATCAACAACCTTCCGACCTCGGACCGAGACCTGGAGACCAACTATATCCAACATTACCATCTAGTCATCCAGTCACCCAAGAAGACATTGGCCACCACCAACAACTCAGATACCAATATCCACCATCACCAGATTATGAGGTGGATGAGCCTGTCCTATCTCCTCCGGTCCCTCTCCTTTTCAACAAATAGTAATTCACATCGATATATCTTGCCGTCGATCAAGCAGATGAGTGATGGGTATAACCCAAATATCTCTCGGCTGGCGATTGAAACCAATCAACCACCAACATCAACAACAACAACAACAACATCATCAAAGTCGAGTTACCAACGCACCAATCAGTGGTCCTACATCCATCACCCGAACCCAGATGACACAGTGGAGACGTTGTGATTCATTCACACGATGACCTGTCGTTGCGAGGTCTATTCCCTCCAAGTCATCCAGTGCCGTGCCAGTGCCGTGCCAGACCGTGTGCCATGCCGCCGAGCCAAGCCAGGCCAAGCTGAGGTGGACCTTTCCAGGACCGAATACTACTAACATTTCCTCCCATCACCATTTGGCCATCTCCGCAAGGAGGTGGCCGTGGCCCATCATGCAAGAGGGATGGGTCGGCCTGTCATGCAAGAGGGACGGGTGGGCCCACCATGTAAGAGGGGTGGGCACGGCCTGGGGACTACACCTGTCGCTATTAGACTTTGGGCAGCGTCGAGACAGGTATGGCAGCAACTTTGTTGACTTTGAGAGTTTCTTCTCATTGTCACAAGTGCTGCCTTTATTTTTTTTAAAGCCGTTGGGCAGCAACCGTGCCCAGGCGACATCATTGAGTTGTACTTTTCCAATTGTTTTTATTCTCCTTCCAAGTCACACTTGCACAACTCCTGACTTCATCGTTTATTAATGCTTTGATTATGATCATTCCAGTTGGATACACTCGTCAACCTAGCAGGATGGCTGCGGTCAATGATTGCAACATAGCAGTGCGGTTGTCAGCTTGGCGTCTGTCCAGTTGGAGACATAGGTTCTGGACTGTGGTCAGCTAGAGATGGACAACTTGGCAGGATGGCGGCGCACTTGTCATCGTTGCTGTCTGTCTGGTTGGAGTCGGAGGTTGTCGACGGTGGCCATCTTGGCAGCATGGAGGCGTGTCAACGTGGCAGTTGGAGACAGAGGTTCTGGGCTGTGGCCAACTTGAGGTTCTGGGTTGTGGACAACTTGGTAACGTGGCGGTGGTCAGCATGGGCGATCAGCGTGGCCGAGTCAGGTCTCTCTAGTTGGAGACAGAGGTTCATGGCTGTGGACACCTTGGCAGCATGGCGGTGATCTAGTGGGAGACAGAGGTTCTGGGCTGTGGACAGCTTGGCCTGGCGTTGGTCAGCATGGCGGAGTCACTATGGCAGCCGTCTGTATAGATAGAGACAGAGGTTCGGGGCTGTGGACAGCTTGGTAGCATGGAGGTCAGAATGGTCGAGTCACAATGGCGGCCGTCTGTCTTGTTGGAGACAGAGATTCTGGGCTGTGGTCAACTCGAGATGGACAACTTGGCAACTTGGCGGTCAACATGGGTGGTCAGCGGAGTCCGTCTAGTTGGGGACAGAGGTTCATGTACTCGGCGCAGCATTGCAACTTCAGTCTAGCTGGAGACAGAGGTTCTGGACAACTTGGCAGCATGGCGGACGACTGTACAGATGGAGACAGAGGTTCGTGGCTGTGGTCAACGTGGCAGCACGCCGGCAGTCGTCTGTCAAGTTGGAAGCAGAGGTTCTGGACTGTGGTCGGCATGGCAGAGTCACAATGGAGCCGTCTGTCTAGCTGGAGGGGTTCGGTAAGGTGGAATGGACTCAGACTTGGACAGGTACCACACAGCTGGCTTCAAGGCACAAGGTCAAGGAGAAGGTAGAGAGTAGAGGAGAGAAGAAGGAAAGGTGTAAGTAAGCAGAGTATAAGTGAGCAGATTGTGATCGGTGGTAGTACTCACTCATTGATTAGGGAGACAGACGTACTGGGAACTCAAGGAAGCATGGCCACCTCAGTCAAGTTGGAAACAGAGGCTCAGGGCTGTGGACAACGTGGTGGCATGGCGGACGTCTGTACAGATGGAGACAGAGGTTCATGGCTGTGGTCAACGTGGTGGCGTGGCGGACGTCTATCTAGTTGGAGACAGAGGTAAGGTGACTCAGACTTGGGCAAGGACCACACACAGCGGGCTTCAAGGCACAAGGTCAAGGAGAAGGCAGAAGAGAAGAGAGAAGAAAAGAAGAGGAAAGTATAAGTAAGCAGAAGATGGTGATTCAATTAGAAATCTATTTGTACTCACTCATTGATTGATATCATAACTCAAACTCATGTAACTCATCAGCAGTAGTGAGACAACAAGGCAGAACAACGTGGTGGTGAGTTATACATGTCAATGTGTTGTTTATTATTATTGATGTATTTGTATATGTATGAGTATATGTGTATGTGTACAAGTAGGAGAGAGTGAGTGCAATGCCAATGAGATGAGTAGTGACATGTGGACCACATCTAACCAACAACCATTTTGAACTCAACCGTTATTTCGATTCGAATGGGCGCTAATTTCAAATTCAAATTTCACCCCCACCAACACTGAACTTCACCTTGTTTATGTGTTAAGACAACCTCAATGTTACTTTCATTCATTCGTACAACAGCCATCAGTACTTATAATATATTCAGTTTGCATTGCATATGACAATGACCCTTCCACCCAAATGATCATCAATTGATGCGATGACCCACAGAGTCGTGAATAGACCAATCAATCAACTAGTATGGCAAGATCAACTATAGTTATCTTCATCTTCATTGGTTTGGTGACCGACTGGCTTTCGATCATCTTCCACTGACTTAGACAAGATCAACACTGCTCCTGATTATATCATCTATCTACACACTCACGGCCATTGAACTCGGTCAGTCATTCATTCATTCCATTGTTCGGATGATAAGGTCCTGACCATTATGAAAAACACATTGACTAAGTGGTTGACAAGACAAGCCCAAGTAATTCAACAACATACACATTGAACATCACACCACCAATGTAATTGAACGATCAATCAATCATTCAAGGACGAACTACCAATGCATTGACATGGTGGGTTGGTGTGGTGTGGTTGTCAAGCATCGTTCACTCACACACCATCTTCATGATCATCATGGTGTGAAGTGCTTCAATCAATCCATCATTCATTCACTCATTCATTCATTCATTCATTCAATCTCAATAATTATCTCATTCAACTTCATAGGAACTAAATAGTTATATATCAATCTTTAATAGTAGTAATGACATCTAATCAACTTAATTTACCGGCTTTGGAGAGAGCATGTACCGAGTCAAGAGGTCTATCCATGGATGCTGTAGCCAAAGCAGCATCGGGACATCTTGGTCTCCCTCTAGGCGCAACAGAGGTCGGTGGTGTACTATTCGGTCACGCTCTTCGTTACAACCCCGATGATGTAAGTCATGATCCATTCAATACTATATCGCAATGCACCTCATCTTACACTCTCATTCAATGTTAGACTAAATGGTGGAACAGGGATATCTTTGTTCTGTCGGCTGGACATGGATCAATGTTCTTGTATAGCTGGCTGCACTTGGCTGGCTATGCAATCTCTGTGGAGGATATTAAGAACTTTAGACAGTTCAAATCAAACACACCAGGTCATCCAGAGTTCCATGATACCCCTGGTGTCGAAGCAACGACTGGTCCACTCGGACAAGGTATTGCCAATGCAGTTGGTTATGCATCGTCATGTAAAATGGCTGCGGCAAGGTATGTCGATGATGCCAACAACAACACAGACACATCACAAGATACTAAAGACACTCATCCATCACACCAAAACAAAGGTTCAACACTGAGCAACACAAGATATTTGATCAAAGAGTTGTTGTGTTGTGTGGAGATGGTTGCATGCAGGAGGGTATCTCTCATGAGGCATTGTCCTTTGCCGGCCATCATAGGTTGGACAACTTGATTGTGTTTTATGACTCGAATGACGTGACACTGGATGCAATGGCCGTTGAGACTCAGTCAGAAGACGCAGTCAAGAGGTTCGAGAGTCAGGGCTTTGAAGTGCATCTCGTCACCAACGGCAACAGCCTTCCAGATCTGTACAAGGCCTACCAAGCGGCCCATGACTCCAAGACCAACAAGCCCCAAGCCATCATTGTCAAGTCTGTCATTGCCAAGGGCATTCCAGAGGTGGCGGGAACCAACAAGGGCCATGGAGAGGCCGGAGTCAAGTTTGTTGATGCCGCCAGGAAGGCGATGGGACTACCCGACGAGAAGTTCTATGTGTCCAAGGAGACTCGCGACTACTTTGCCGCCCACAAGAAGTTACAAGTCGATCGATACAATCAATGGAAGAAGACGTTTGAGGAGTGGCAGAAGGCCAATCCTCAGCTGGCCGCATTGCTTGAATCGTCGCAACATGAGGTCGATCCCCAGAAGTTGTTGGCTGCCATCCCAGAGTTCAATCCAAAGGACTCAATTGCCACGCGTAAGGCTGGCAGTGAGGTGCTTCAGCCCATCGCACAAACACTCCCACTTTTGATCAGTGGCTCGGCAGACCTTCATGGCTCCACGCTCAACTACATCAAGGAGGGCAGGGACTTCACACCAAGCTGCCCAGGTGGCAGGAACATCAAGTTTGGTATCCGTGAGCATGCAATGTGCGCCTTATTGAATGGTTTTGCCTACCATGGTATCTTCAAACCATCTGGAGCAACGTTCCTTGTCTTCTCTGACTACTGTCGCCCATCCATTCGTTTGGCCGCACTCAGCCATCTTCCAGTGACCTACATATTCACTCATGACTCGATCGGTGTCGGCGAGGATGGTCCAACCCATCAGCCAGTGGAGACAGTGAGCGGACTACGTATGATACCTAATCTTGATGTTATCCGTCCCGCTGACCCTGAGGAGACTGCTGGTGCATTTGCCTCTGCCTTCTCGAGAAAGTGCGGTCCAACTCTGTTGGCACTCACACGTCAGAACCTACCCAATCTTGTGGCCGAGGCTGATGCCAAGACTCGCAGAGACGGTGTGTTGAAAGGTGGATACGTGCTCAGCAAAGAGAAGGGTGCACTCAAGCTCATACTCATTGCCACTGGCTCAGAGGTGCAACACATTGTCGAGGCTGCCAAGAAGTTGGGCGATGGAGTGCGTGTAGTCTCAATGCCATGCACATCGATCTTTGATCGACAGCCCAAGGATTACCGCGAGTCTGTACTTCCAAACTCTTGCAGAAACAGAGTGGCAATTGAGGCTGGAGTGACTAGTTTCTGGTACAAGTATGTTGGACTCGATGGAAGAGTAGTGGGTATTGACAGATTCGGCATGTCAGCACCAGGAAACACCGTCATGAAGGAGCTTGGAATGACTTCAGACTCTGTGATCAAGGCTGCCAACACTGGTCTTCAGTTATAGGGTTTGTTCATTTGATAAATCACCATCAATCACTAAATAAACATTGATCCCCTCTAATTAATGTTTGTTGTTCCTTTCCTTTTAAGTGTACCAGAACTACAAAATGTCACACATCTTCAAACACACAACTCAGAGTCGTAACACACAAGTTCCTGTCTCTTGTCCCATTGTTTACTACATCATTTACAACAATCCTTCACACATTGTTACCAGGTTTCTCAATGTAAGTACTATACAATCGTAGTCTGAATGCCACACAAGACACCAATCACTCTTTTAACTACAATCACCCTACTGAGGTGTAACAATGATGATATAACATACATACTTGATCCCTACCAGCACCAATCGAATGTAAACTTCCTTTCATTAATTCAATGCAATACTTATAACAATACTTATACATCTTCAAATAATATTATTATCTACTTATTGTAATCATGGCAGATACTATTGGTTTTGAAGATACATCTACTAATTCAATCTTCATCCAGAGAACGCAAGGAATAACCATAACAAAGAAACAAAATATCATCAATTCCACTTCATCTTCAAGTTCTTCAACATCTTCAACATCTTCAACATCTTCAACATCTTCTACAACCTCATTAATGAATTTATCAACTTCCAGTTCCTCCAACATACCCCACACAAATAATATTATTGATATTGTCAATCGAATCAAAGGATGGTCAAACAAGATTGATTATTTGAGAGAGGTAAGAATATTAATATTCTTTCTTCAAGTACAAGATAGTCGAAACTAACCTATTTAACTCAAGATTGGATATGTTCCAGACGGGGGCGTGGAACTTGGATCAATAACATTCCAATCTTTTGTTGAAAGAAGACAAAAGGAAGGAGTATCATCAGAATTCAAGTCTAAGATATGGTTCATAGAAGGAAGAGCATGGATCTATGAAATACTAAGCGATGTACATGAATTCTGCTCCCTTCAACTTGCTCTTATTATTAGGGATCAAGCCGTCCATCACCATCAAGAGATTATAATGGCTGGGAGCCCTACTCTTATTCTTCAACATGGTCATTCCTCAGCAGAACCTGACCATTGTTTGCGACCACTACGACCAAGAGTCCCTCGAACACGCTCCTCAAATGGTAAAGGACTTCCATATCCTTCATTGATCATCGAAACTGCGTATACTCAGTCCCTTCCAGTCTTACATCAGAAGTGCATGGCCTATTTCATGGATCGTGTTGCTGCAGTAGAGGCTGTCCCTGCAGCTCCTGGAGTGCCTGGGGTGGAGGCCAAGGCAGCAGTGCCCAGCACTATCAGAATTGTGATTGGTGTCAAGATCTATCCACTATACAATGACAACTTTGCAATGTTAGTCTTATACTATCAGAATAGTGCTGCTGCCAATCCTGTCAGGATCATCTCTTGCGGTACAAACCATTTGAATCGATCCAACGCTATCCCAATAGTCAGATCTATATCACCAGCAGGATACGCCGCCCCATATGGCTATGAAGGAGTGATGCCCCCAGAACCTCCTGTCAACTTAGACCTTCCCAATCCTCTCAATCTGTTGAATCCTTGCAATGATTATAATATTCCACTTTACCAACTCCAGATACCGACTGGTGAACTGTTCAATGGAACTCCTCTACCCCAAGTCTTTCCAGCCTTCTTCACCGTGGATCTATATAAAATCCAAAGAAGACTTTTAGAATTCCTTCTCGACGAAGAGGACGATGAGGACGACGAACAAGATGACGAAGACGATGAAGAAGACGACGAAGAGGACGAAGAGATGGAGGAAGAAGAAGTGGAAGACGAACAGGATGACGACGAAGACGACCAAGAGGAGGAAGATTTGAATGAGGATGTGGACGATGAGGACTATTGAGTCCAAATCAACATGATAGAGTTGCAACAGTCTTTGGGGATGATCCGGCGGATCATCTTTCAAGAACACAGTCCTTCAATCAATCAATCAATCCATCAATCAAACAATCAATCAATCAATCAATCAAAATCAGACACCAATTTAATCTATTATCATTCTCAACTTCGAAATTATTGATAAGTCCAATTAATTATCTACTATATTATTTATTTACAACATCCACTGGATGACTGTTTGTTATCCGGTGTGATTACTTTTGGAATGACTAGGTTGTGATGCAGTAGCAATAGTTTTGTTGCAACATCCATAAACATATGATCAATACCAATATTCTTTCGAGCTGATGTTTCATAATACATTGCATTGATCTGATCGGCAAACGATTGGGCAACCTTTCGTTCAACACGTCTCTCATCCACAAGGTCTATCTTATTGCCACATAATACCAATACTAGAATTCGTGATGAATAATAATGTTAGTTTGGGGTTGTCTTCCATCGATCAATCAATCAATCAATTTACCTATATCTTCAAGAGTGTTTGATCGTAGTTCTTGGACCCATTCCTTGACCTTATCGAATGAGTTGATGGATGTAACATCGTAGACAATAACAGCAACATGGGCACCTCGATAATACATTGGCATCAATGATCTAAATCTATCTTGTCCAGCTGTATCCCATAATTGGAACCTCATATTTGTACCCTCTATATTACTACAAACATCCAATATCATCACTATGTTAGTAAATGTACATCAATTGGACATTGAAGATAAGTAATGATCATCTCTAACTTACAGTCTCTTTGATAGAAAGTTTGAACCAATTGTCGGAATTGGCCTTGTTGGGAATATTCCCTCTGCATATCTTGTGACGATGGCTGTCTTTCCAACATCTTAATGAGTTGTATTCATTGTATTAGTTATCTAACCTGGTCATCAATAGTATTGTTAAAAATACATACCGCTACTTCCAAGTAATACAACCTTCTTATCATAATCATGCTGTTGATGATGTTGTAGTTTATGATCCATTGTATAGTATCTATCTTAGTTAAATATATTATTATTATGTTTATTCAATCAATGATCTTTAGATCAAGGGTTAGCTATATTATTTGATTCATAATAATAATAATAATAATAATAATGATAATGATAATGATGACTGCAGTCGTGCCTCCCTCTCTCTCTCCCTCCAATCCACTCCTACCTGTTGACTACTACTAGTTACTCCACTTCAAAGCCGCAGTATATATTTGAGGATGTGCCTGTGACAGTGTTTCTCCAATCCTTGAGCCGCAGTGTGGCCTACTTTACATCATCTAACACACACAACAGCAACAACAACAAACAGCATTGTGGACAGATATATATTATTATTTATATATATGTGTGTGTGTGTGTGTGAGAGTATGGTGCCTTCGTGGCATTGATAACAACAAAGTAATGATCGATCACTTGAGTGCATTCACACACACACACACACACTCACATCAGTTTGTGTGTTTATCTATGTGTGTATATATATATATATATATTTTTGTAATTGTAGTATTATCTGCTCAGTGCAATCATTCATTCCCTGGTTATCAATGAAGTTCGTTGTTGTTAACACACATACAAGTTTACAATAACATGATGACGGAGTGTGGTGTTTGTCCTTGTTTGGCAAGTGAGAAACAAACCCTTGTAGGGTAGGAAATGGATAAATGGATTGGTGTGAGTCATTGTTGTCAACACGCATCGTTGAGGGTCTTCAAGTTCACCAACTTTTCTAGAGTGAGCCAATCGAAATTATCATTCACATAAATTATTAAAGCAAAGCCAACAACAACATTCATTCAATCAAACAACAGTTCACATTCATACATTCATACACACATTCAAACACAACTCAACAGATATTCATTCATTGTTGAATACGTACATTGGAGTTGACATCAACAATATTAGTACTCTGACTTTGAAACAAACAAACAAACAAACAATCAATCAAACAATCAATCAAACAATCAATCAATCAATCAATCAAGAAAGACGACACTTTAGTTTACTTTTAGACTTAGACTTAGACTTTAGATAGGATAAGACAAACATGTACAACCCACCACCACCATCACAAGGCCTTGCCAAAGGAAACAATTATTATAGACAACCATCGTCAACACCAGGAGTAGGCGCACCAGGTCAGCCAACAGTGCCAAACTTTGGCGCTCCAATGAATATGTCTAGAGGCGGAGCGCCATCGGCCCCACCCCCTGGCCAGTTCCCACCTCCACCTCCAGGCGGCCAGTTCCCACCTCCTCCAGGCGCTGGTCAGTACCCACCACCTCAGCAGGCCGGCCAATACGGCGCACCACCCAGCCAGCCAGGCCAGTACGGCGCACCCGGCCAATACGCACCTCCTCAGGGACCAGGCATCACACTACAGAAAGATCAATCGATCTCATTGAACAAAGAGGATCCATACCTGCGTCGTATATTCGTTGGACTTGGTTGGGACGTCAGCCAGACACCAGGATTCCCCTTTGATCTCGACGCCGTGGTCTTTATGCTGTCGCCCAATGGTACAGTCAGAACCAGTCACGACTTTATCTTTTACAACAACAAAGTGTCAAGAGATGGCTCAATCGCTCATCAAGGTGATAACCTTACAGGGTACGTAGTCCCACAGGAGCAGTATATAATGGTAGTTCATCATCCTAACCCAACTCAACTCACTCACTCAATCAAACAATCATTCAATCATTCAATCAATCCACACAGATATGGAGAGGGAGATGATGAGACTGTTACAGTTAACTTGCAGGGAGTGTCACCGGATGTTACAAGACTGGTGTTTGCTGTGACGATCCATGATGCCGAAAATAGAAGACAGAACTTTAGTCAGGTGCCACGCGCATTTATTCGCATTGCCAATCAGGAAACAAGCCGCAACATCTGTCGATATGATCTGTCCAACGAGGGCGGCATGAACACGGCACTGATCGCCGGAGAGGTGTACCGCGAGGGTAACGAATGGAAGTTTATCGCTATTGGCAGGAGTTTCCCAGGTGGTCTAAGATATCTGTGTCAGATGTTTGGAGTCAACCTTGGATAGTGATCAAATTGAAAGGATCGATAGATGGACTCTGATGATGTACCCTCACTACTATTTATATCCCTTTGGATACCTCCCTGACCCATGAATAAACAAAGACACACAGGCAAGACACAGCTGATGTATATTAGACAATATTATATTACACTCTACAGACATAACTCTTGGACTCTGCTATGTATCTGATCCAACGGACTGGCGTGATGCCAAGTACTTTGAGGAACTTGATCTGGATCCCGGTGCAGTTGAACATTGGTATGTCAAAGTCCAGGCTGATCGGCCCAACCTGACGACGAACAATATCCTCATTCACACTGCCATCGGTTTGAATGCGCGCCCGCATGATGACCTCGGCGCCACCACGCATCTTCTTGATGCTCCAGTGTATCAGATGATCGTTGGCAATGTATTCAATGTGTTGACCTGCGCTCTCAAAGTCGAACGAGAGTACACAGCTCGCTGTTGTCTTGGGCATGGGGATGGTGATGTCAATGCCATTGGAGATGACGTTTGGTGCGTAGTTTGCGCGCAGCCTGACGCTGAGCTCCAGGAACTTGTTCTTGCCCTGCGTGATTGGTTCGATTTGTGTGTTGATGAGGAATGGAGAGTAGCTGCTGTTTGATATCCGATACTTGAACAATGTGAACTCGCCCTGAGGCGGATGGAAGTTGATCGTGCTTCCATCCTCCACTGTGAATCCATTTGAGGCGCATTCATGAAATAGACAGTCATCAATATTTAGACCGCCCGTTGCTGCGCCTTTATCCGATGCCGCATTACTAGTGGCGCCAATTGTAAAGTCTTGATTGAATCCAATTGAAACAACAGGATTGCCCTTTAGATAACTCCTTATCACAACACTTCCATTGACATCATTACGAATGACTGCTCCCTGTTATGTTACATTGTGAGTGAGTAAGTGTTTGAGTCGATGGAGTTGATTGAGGTCCGAGTCAATAACATACATTGGACGCAAAGAGGACAGTTAGATGCTCCCATAGGTCTACATAGATCTCATTGCCATTTCCATTGTCTATTTGTGAAGGTTGATGTACAGGTCTAACAGAGTTAACAGATGGAACTGACTTCTTTGTTGCGGTATTCTTGGGATGACCATGAGATGTTAGTGTCTGGAATCAATCGACCAACTTGGCCTCATTCAAACAAAAACATACTAGGAATGTATCAATCATTGATTCTTGCTTTGAATGTTGTACAACAGTAGGTGGAGTGAATACGAATGACTTGAGGGTCTCTGTTGATGTACCTTGTGGATGACCAAAGTCCAACAGCTCGTCCAACAACTCGTAGATCAATGTAAAGTTCAGTCTAATTGCTTCCTCTGTCAATGATGCCGTGTAATCTTGAATGATCATAGCAGTCCTATTCAACAACTCGAATGCCAATGAAGGTGATACCAACTGAAGTGTAGTCAACACAAAGTACATCTCACGTCTCTTTATAAACAAGTAGTTGATTGAGTCCAGACACTTCCAAAGTAGTACAAGTTAGTAAGTTACTTTGTTTGATTGAATGAATGAATGGACTTACAAAGCATGGTTGTATATTTGATGTATCGGATGCTAGTATATGTGTAAAGAATAGATCGGGAGTGTTCCTACTTATATCAGGTCTATCTGTTGACAGACAGGTTGATTAGAATGGTTACTGGATACACGACAATCAGGGAATGGACAAACACATACACTCCTTGAATATGATTGTATCGCCTTTATAGTTCAATATGAACAACTGGCTGAACATTGTCGTAGTCTATATATGTTGTATATCTGTACAAAGTATGTTTGATTGATTGATGAAGTTGTGTTTGTTTGAAGTTCTCACAAATAGTTTGCAAAGTTGTCATTCATTCAATCATTCATCAATCAATCTTCAAAACACATATATAGATATATAGATAATGGATCAGAAGAAGGAAGAAGGTACCATTGAGGAACCATTAGATCTCATTAGACTGAGTCTTGATGAGAGGATATTCGTAAAGATGAGACAGGATAGAGAGTTGAGAGGAAAGCTACATGTATGTTACATTCATTCTTCAATCATAACATGGATGCTGGAATAGGATAGGAATATATGTACTTACTCATATCATACTATATGTATCATTCATTCAATCGATCAATCGATCAATCGATCATTCACTATCAAATAATCAATCAGGCATATGATCAACATTTGAACATGGTACTTTCTGATGTCGAAGAGACTATTAAGGTCATCGAAAAGGATGAGGAGACTGATGAAGAGATTGTAAAGGTATGAGTTATTGATGATTGTAATCGAATGCTGTGATCACTGACTAACATTCAAACTTATAGAATATCAAACGTAACATAGAGATGCTTTTTGTACGTGGAGACGGTGTCATTCTGATCTCTCCACCACTCAGGACATCATAATGAATCAATGTCGATGTATAGAATACACTTCTCAATACCTCTTATTGGAGGGGCCGATGTTAAACCATCACTCATTCACAATGTTACTTATTTCGTCTTTATTACATTCGTCTTCACATGATTCATGCTTGACATGGCTCATCATCAAACAGACACATAGGCATCCACCATCAGGTCGATGCTATCAATCATAGATCATCATGTTGGCAACTGGTTGACAGGACTACCAACAAACATGCCATCGCGCGTCTACACGCCAGACTTAATTTTTTTGAATTTTCTCGACCCGAATGATGACCTTGTGATGATGAGCACACAGCGACAAAACGCAGCAGTTGTCATTGATCTGATTGCCTACATATACTACTACTTATATATATATACTTACATACAATGAACATCGACAAGATATTCAAGCTGGCCAAGGGCTTCTACGGACGCTCAAAGAACTGTAAATCGTTGGCACGCGAGCGTGTCGAGAAGGGACTCGAGTACAACTACGTCTCACGCAGACTGATAAAGAGAGACATGCGAGCAATGTGGATCCAGCGTATAAACGCCGGTGTCAGACAGCATGACCTCACCTACAACAGCTTCGCAAGGGCATTGGTCGCATCCAATATAGTACTAAATAGAAAAGTACGTCGGCAAAGAGATAGTGAGAGAGGCAGAGCCATGCTCGTCAAGACGCACAAGACTAACAACAAGTTGTCAATCAATCAATCACAATAGATACTATCTGAACTGGCGATAACAGAGCCATATAGTTTTAAGGCATTGACAGACTTGGCGAAGGGTACACTATCAAAGCTTCAAGGCACAACATACAACCTCAAGGAGTAATAAACTGCGATAAAGACGACGACACAGTATTATATATATAATTAAGTAATGGACATTCATATGATTGCCTCGTATCATACATTGATGACATACGCATTTGAGACATATACAGATGGTATCCTATCACTCAACTCACATCCACTCTGGGCACACATTGATGGACACGCTGATGTCTCTCCTCTCTCCTGTTGACTGACATGTCTGACTGATTATAGATAGAACCCTGTGACAGTCTGGCTATGGCTAGCCCATGAAGACCATATGGTTATCATGGGTATAGATGACATAATATAATTGGGAGGGTCATTGGGTATTATAGATACCCTTTAATGAATATTCAATCGTCGTCTCTCTTTGTCTTGATGATGGAGAGACATCACTGTTAATCTACAGAATGGTACAACACTTGGCATTGGGATCATAATACTGTGTACCAGTACCTTTGCAATGGAAACAATCATCCTTTCCAGCTCCACGACATATTCCACATTGATGTTTCTAAACATTTATTTATTATTTATTTGGTTAGTTTAATATTTAATGTTGGTAATATTTAAAATAACCATTAATAAGATTGATAATACATACTGTGAACTTGGCACGACCTGTTCCTGTACAATGGAAACATGCCTTTGATCCGGTACCATTACAATGGAAACATTTCCTGGCGACTAACTCTGGTTGGGCTTGTGGTTGTTGGTGACCTCCACCATTATGTTGTTGATTATGGCTCATTCTTTAGAAGATGGTTAGAGATAAGTGGTAATAATAATGATTAATTGGATGACTCGAACATGAACCGGTTCATTATATGTTGATCAATTGTGTGCCCTCATTTCAATTTAGATCAGCAGCTGACTTGTGTGATGATCCCTCATCTTAAACCTACCCTCAACCTTCCCTCATCATCCACATAGTACATTGATGAAATGTAGTTGTTTATTCAACTAACAACGTAGGCTAATCGTTAGCGCGTGTATTGATGGATGCTCGGAGCAAGTATTACTTTACATGTACAATAATTATGTTGATTGGATTGATTGATTGACTTAGGAGCTGTGCGTGCCCAGGGACCTCATGTGCATGTCTTGCTTCATCTTCTTCAGGAGAATTTTACGACGAACAATGAATATGGTTGCACAGGCAATGGCCAGACCTCCAACGGAACACAGGACAATGATGGTGATCAACTTCCACTTGTTATCGGACGTGCTGCAGGAATCGCCATTCTGGGAGTTGTCCGAGATCAATGAGTTGAATGAAGGGTCAATCTTACATGAGCCGGTGAACGCGGGCGATGCGACGGCTGTCATCACGTACTTGGTGTCGTTGGCACCAACGGGCATGCCGACGACCAGTGGATCGCTATCCAGAAGTCGGACGGCAAGTGATGTCTGCGCCTTGTTGTCCACGAGCAGCACGTTGGCAAACTGTGCCTGCAGCACAGAGCCTCCAGCGACGATTTGTAGCTTGTTGGAGTCCATCTGTGCCTCGGTGTCCACCTGCTTGCACTGGGACACTGAGGTCATTGGAGCAGTGGTCGTGAAAATGATCTGGAGCACGTTCAACTGGCTGGCGAACGTCCAGTTGTACACGGCTGCCACGTACTTTAGCGAGTTGGCCTCCATTTTGATGGTCTGGCCACCAAAGACCACGGTGGCAGGGGAGAGGTAGGTTGTGATGTTGACCTCGAGCACCGCGTCGGTGTTGTCGAAAGTACGGCGGTAGAGCTGCTGAGTGGCGCTTGCTTCGGTCTGGTTCCACTTGGCCGTTGACACGACGATAGTCTTGACGACGTTGCCCATGTAGTTAACCTCCCTCAGATGTGTGATGGCAGATGTGAAGTTGCCGGGATAGTTACCCTCGGTGTTGTTGCCGGTTGATGGCGTGCCACCTGAGCCTCCCTTGATCGAGCAGTCGTCCTTCACCTTCCAATCTTCTTCGCAAACGCACACATTGTTGATGCAATCTCCATGGCCGCTGCAGTTGTTCTTGCATCCATCGCTTGGTGTGACCTTTTCGTAGACAAAGACGTAGGCGCCGCCACTGATTGTGTTGACCGTGACGTTGACGTAGCCCAATCTAATCAGATCGGTGATGGCCACAGTACCGGGGAATGAACAGGTGAGTGAGTTGGTAGAGGCGACCGCGGGGTTGGCGCAGGCCTGTCCCTGGATGTCAACTGCGATGCCAACATCGGAGAAGTAGTCGCCAGAGATGGTGACATTTCCTCCGACCATGTACTTGACAGCTGTGGCACTGGACACGGTTGGATGGGAGTATGAGAACAGGTAGGTGGATACGGTGACCGAGCCATCGAAAGTGAGAGTGACGTTGTGTGTGCCAGAACCCGCGGCAAGAGTGCAGTGCAGACTGATCGGAGTGTCGACTACAACGGAAGTACATGAGTATGGTCCGATGGAGACGGAGGATGTGACAGAGTCGGTTGGGAATGCTGTGCCAGTGACAGTGACAACGCCACCGCCACCACCAATCGCGCTAACACCGGTCACCTTGGCCTCGGCGTAGTTGAACAGCTTGACATTGGACTTCTTGCCGCCAACCGTTATAAAGATACGACGTTGCTTGCCAAAGTAGGCTGGTGCCATACATCGTACGCTGTGGAATGGTGTCAAGATCTCCAAACCAGTGCAAGTCAGCGAGACGTTGGTGTTGGTCAACACGCTGACCACCATATCGTTGGCATTGATCGAGAAGTTGTTACCAGACAATGTGATGTAGTTGTCGTTGTCCACGTTGGAAGCTGTGTCAAGCACTGGTGGCATGAAGTCGATTGTGAGGTAGTTGCTCGATCGTGCGCCATTGATGCCGCCAAGGACAAAGTATGCATGGTGGGGGCCGCCAGAGCCGGGCAGGACCTGGACACCCATCGCGTAAGTCTGGTAGTTGGTGGCAGACGCGTTGACAGGGCTCAACACGCCATTGACAAGGAGAGACATGCTCACATTGGAGAGCACGGGCACGATTGATGTGACCCTGAAACTGATGTACGCGCCATTTGTTGGCATTGTGTATGTTTGGACGGCGGTGAAGCTGGGCGTGACTAGCACGCTTGGATCGAAAGCTGTAAGCAGGTTCATGTATGAGTCGCTCGAGCTGTAGAGAGTCATCTCGCTGCCGAGGTCGTAGTAATAGTATTGGGTGGTCGACAAGCCAATGTCGGTCACGGGGTTGTAGAGTGTGATGGGGCCGCTCTTGGGTCCGTAGCGATAGACCATTTCCGTGCCGTTGTACATGGCGTTCATCATGAGGGAGTCCATACGGTAGTATTTCGAGTTCGAGTTTATAAAGGCACAGCCGTTGTAGAGGACTTGGCTTGCGGCCGCTGTGGCGACGTAGCCCATGTATCCATCCATGCCCTCGACGACCTGCTTCGAAATCATTTCGTTGGCCGCGTCCGAGAACAGTTGATAGTTGAAACAGTTGTAGTACATGTTCTCCTCCTTCACGTACATGGCGGCCTTGAGCGAGACACCCAATGCGATGCCGCCAACCGACACCTTGATGGGGAACAGTCCCTTTGTGATGTCGCCCTGAAGCACGCAGCTGAACGCTACGTTGGGGCTGAGGATGACAACGTTTGAACAACTAATCATGGAGATTGTAAGCGTTGCCTGGATCTTGGTGGCGTCGTTTCCAAAGCCAGTGCCGGTGATGCTGATGGTGTCGCCAGACTTGAAGCTCGGGTTGACCGTGTTGATCTGTGGCGGCAGGTATTGGTAGGTGGAGGTGTAGGTGCGCACACCGTCGGTGACCTTCAGGTCGTACACACCAGTGGTACCAGCGGGGAGGGTGCATGTGATCATATCGCTTGTGGCGTTGTGTACGACATTGCTGCATGGGACGGCAGAGCTTGGCGCAGCGCCCTGCAAGTTGATAGTGACCTGGATGTCGCCAAACACTACGGAGCCTGGGAAGGCGGCTGTGCTCATCTGGGACTGGCCACCCCACTGGCTGACTGGCAACAGGAAAGGCTCGACGGCGGGACCCACCTCGCAAATGAATGGGTAACTGGCCGAATTCGACACTCTGTTGTTGAAGCATTTGTATTGTACATTGCCTGCCACGTAGGACAGGTAGGGTTCGCCTCTAGATGGCTCGCCTGGACACCAATCGACGTAACTGAAAAGACGATCTGATGTCAGGTCGTACATTGGTGCGCCAGTCTCTGGTCCAGTTGAGTATGTCCACAATCCATCACCATCGACATCACTACCCGACACCCATAATGACTCTGCTGCCAATTCAGTGGCAAAGGTAGATTCAATGAATGACCATTCAGCTTGTGAATTGATTGTTACCAAGTATCTATATATTTGATTGATTGAGTTTGAGTTTGAGTTTGAGTTTGGGTCAGTGATTGAGTGATTGAGTATGTTTGGAATGGTTCCAGAGTGAGTGTGATTGATTGTTTGAGTTGATCGTGTGATTGAGTGATTGAGTTTGGAATGGTTCCATCGTGTGTTTGATTTATCGATTGAGTTGAGTGAGTGATTGGAATGATTCCAGAGTGGGTGATGGTGTAGACATACCCATTTGGATAGGTGGCAGCACAGTAATCAGCAGCATCTGTGGCATATTTAATTGTCTGAATCCAATAGTAATCATGGTTGTTCACTGACCAAGTGAAAGGTGATTGTCCATTGGCTATTTGTACAATCACACAAGCCAACAGAAGCATCAACATCATCAATGATGTTGTGGTTGGCATCAGTTTAATTGATGATGTTTGTGACATAATATTGATATTTATGTTCAATCAATCAATCAATCTTATTATTATTTGTTGATAGTAATAGTATTTGTATATGTTTGTTTGTTTGTTACAGTTTACTGATCAAGTAGTAAGTATTTAACTACTTAAATTATAAGGACCTGTCCTCACTCTGGAGTCCTAGGGCGATTCTCAAACCAAGTACCACGTCTAGGTCACTGTTTGAAACAGACTCATAGTGTGGGTGTGGTTTAGGATTGTAGTCGTCATCGGCACTGACAACAATTCATCCATTCATTCACCAATGTTCGATCCTTCATTTGCAACTGATCATATCGCATGGTTGTGTGAGAGGGGGCATGTAATTGTTCAGGTCCTCGGCAATCTACTTCCGATGGTGCCTTGCACCTTGCACACCCTCACATCAACCTATTCGTATTCAACACACACAAATTCACAAAGATATTATCTTGTTTGTTTGTTTGTTTGCATGCAAGAGTACTTGATCAAGTCTCCAAAGACATCGCAATTCACTTTTGCAACCCTCAAAACCATAAAAAAACATCCCACAAACGCCTTTACTGCGCGATGATGTCAACCATACTACCTCATAATCATCAACAACTTGTCAATTGACACATGGAAAGACCATACCATACCATTCATAAATCGTAATCGACTTATTTGTATTAATATGTTTTCTGATGATGACAATACGGTCCATAATACCGGTACCGACTCTCCATCCAACGACTCCGAGATATTATTTTTGTTGTTGTTGTTGTTGCATGAAGTGAGTGACCGAATCAAGAACATTGATGTGCAAGATATTATTTATTTATTATTTTGTGATTCGTAATACGTATACATCTATCTACAATTAATTGGTGATGGTCTCCAAAGTTTTGTTTCGAAACCATATCTAAATATACTCCTCATTGCTTGGTACCAACAATCAAACAAATAACAATCAATCAATCAAAGATGTTAAGTGAACTTCACGAAAACAACACAACATAAGAGTCAATGATTGGGGTGATGAATGGAAGATGCCGGCATTACCGCGGCTCTTATTCTTGACACGAGCTCGGATGGCGATCACTTTTCAAATTAATTACATCTACGTAATCGTTCGATTTATTTCAAGATATTTATAATAATGAATCAGATCCAACAAACAACAAACAATTTTATATTTAGTTTTATAAATGATCTGCCATCAGAAGAATTCTTTGTGTCTCTCACTCACACGTAAGTGAACAATAGGAGGGAAAGGAACCAGGGTGTTGTTCAAGTTCGCACAACAACAAGCAAGACCTTGCCTTGCTTTCCTAGCCCATCACCACCCTATTATTGGGACCAAAGATAACTTGTTAACATTGATTGTAAAGGTGGGAGGGAAGCTTCAACTGAACTGAATGAGTTAGTGTGTGTGTTTGATTGATAAGCATATTTGAAGAGAAGAAAGAGAAATCAGAGTGTTAAGTGTGTGTGTCATTGCTAAAAGTATCTCATCAAACATAAGTTATTGTTGTATTGCTTGTTGTAATAATATATATATATACAAATAACCTTTAAATACAAATATAAACATATTGTAATAGTAATAGTAATAGTTCAAATATAAAAAGACAGACAGTTGCTTTAGCACTGCCTTATTCAATCACTCACTCACTCATTCAATCAATCAAACAATCCCAACCTTATACCAGCTGTACACAATAAAAATAAGATGTCTGATGATAACGGATTCCAATCAGATCAGTCATTTGGTATGATTATACTTTGGAGCAGTCATAAACAAAGTAACAGGAACAGACGAACTTATACATTCTATCCTCCATCAATCAAACAGCACAACACCTATTGGAACAGTTGTCAGAGAATATCAGTCAGTTGATACACTTGGTAGTGTTCCTTCAAGAACAGAATGCTGAACTACCTGTCGATCAAATTGTATGATTGTCGCGAACTATTGACCATTGTCGATCATTCATTGGGTTGGACTAACTCATTCATTCATTCATTTATTCACAGTCTGATGTAGCTAATGCAGCTGCTGCCATTGCTGACATCTCTATATCATTGGCAAACGATGAGTATTCAGACTATCCAGATATAAAGAATGAGATATTGGCTGCATCATCAAGTAAGCCATTCCATTCATTCATTCATTCAATCATTCATTCAATCATTCATTCATGCTTGACTAACACATGACACCCTGCATGTGACACATGATATATACAGAGATGGCAATAACAAAGAAGCATGCATTGGATTCAATCAATAGCTTCTCAAGACAGACAAACAGGAAGAAGGCTTGGGAGAATCTATCAGACAACTGTCGATCAATTGGAAATGAGACGATAAAGATACTTCACGTCGTATATGGCGCGGAGCTAAAGAGGTGAGTGACAGTGAATGGATGGACGATGATAAGTGGCACACATCGCTGACAAACCCATCAAACGAATCAATCAAGATTGATCATCCACTCTGATCGAGCAAAGACTGCCGTGGAGTCGATTAGGATTGAACGCCTGGCTGATGATGCTCAGACATTCGCTGATGGCATATCAAACTCAGTGTCAGAGATCTTTAAGTTTGCATCATATCTCAAGCTGCGAGCGAATGACGAGGATGCGCCTTGGGTCAAGGGCGAGTATATATCTCAAGCAGATCAGCTTGTGGAGACTGGAAACAAGCTGATCACCATCACAAACGACCTGCTGGCATACGAGGGCGACGGCATCGACCCGGCCCATCAGAACAACTTCAAGCAGACACTGGCTAGCCTGGCACAGAACATCAACTCTAGCACACAACGCGTAAAGGAGATGGCACAACAGAACCACATGAATCTTATATCAACGGTGGCTGCGTCTCCGTCCCAGACCTCGAACAACAACAATGGTACACAGCGCCACTCTGCGACACACGAGCGCGACCTGATGCTGGAGGAGCTGGTCAGGGCGACGTCCAAGTCAGTTACAGAGCTGTTGCGCGCGGCATACAAGGGCGACGCATCGTCTGTGTCTGTCGTCGCCAAGTCACTGGAGAATATCACCGACATCCTCATCAACAAGGTCAAGACAATCAGACAGCCAAGCAGCGAGTTCAATGCGATGTGCACCAAGCTGAAAGCTACCGTATCAAGGTACACGGCGCTGGCCGTGCAGGTGGTAGACAGTCCAGGCAACGCGCAGCTGATCGCGCAGATGGGCGAGCCAGTTGAGGAGATCCAGGACATCCTGCAGACGTTGCTGGGCCAGGTGTCAACGCGCGATGCACAGTTGATCAACATCATCCAGAGCAAGCAGGACTGTCTGACCATCCTAAACGAGACAGAGGAGCCTGCCGTCATCGTCAGCACGCTTAAACATCTGTCCAAGAATCACAAGAAGATGGAGTCCATGATCACGAGATCGGACCCCATCGAGGTGAGTGCAGCCATCCAACAGCTCTCCTCGCTGCTGCCCCAGCAGATCCAGGTGGCCAAACAGTTCTTGCGCGATCCAACCAGCGATGACACACGAAAGCAGCTTCAAAACATCAACACAGAGATGAAGACGCCGCTGGCGCATCTGGTGGCTTTGATGGAGCCAACATCGCGAAATGAGGCCCACGAAGCCGCACTCAAGGAGCGCACATCCTCCGCCAAGATCATCGATGCAGCACTCAAGGGCAATGCACGCGAGGTCGACGACATGATCAATGAGCTCGAGCAGATTGTCTCGAGTCTGGTCGCTTTGGCCACAGCTGAGGCGACATATGACAGCGCGATCGGACAGGCATTGGGCGAACTTACTGACCAGCTGATCAAACAGTTGGCCAGTCGCAGAGCGATCGTCGCCAAGCTCGTTGCCAATCCAAGAAGCGAGCAGCTACAGCACGAGCTGGATAAGATCAACAACACAATCAGCATGCTCACTGTGGCAGTGTCCGAGTCGGTGTCGTCTGACTTGGGCGTTCTGCTGCACAAGCTCAAGGTGGCGGCCAGCGAGGGCCAGCTGACCAAGGTCGACGCATTCATCAGGGAGATCACAAACAAAGCCAACATTCCTGTGCACACTGTAAATACGCAGGAGTCCATCAAGTCTGACCCGACCAAGGCCAGGCTGTTCTCATCTCTGGCCAGCGACCTGCTCGACTTTGTCGGCCTGCTCACCAGGGAGTGCAAGGCCACTCAGGCCAACCAGCGCAACGATACTACGCGACTAGAGTACCTGGGCCAGGAGGTCCAGTCGCGCTACAACGACCTTCAGAAGCATCTGCTTCAGTCTCAGGAGCAGCAACAGCCACACTCGAGTGGCAAGGGTCGCGAACCACAAGAGGGCACATCGTTGCCCGATGAAGAGCCCACTGAGAAGAAGATACTACAGTTGTTCTCAGAGTTGTTGGATCACATCAGACGTAACGAGGCCGTCAAGTCAGTGTCAACTCTCAAGGCCATGATTGGCGAGCAGGACAAGCTGACGCAAAAGGCCAGTGACTTGATGTCGCGCACCTTTAGCGCTCACTTTAGGGCACAGATCGAGAGCAGCATCACTTTGTTCAAGTCGACCATCTCCCTGGCCATCAACACAGCTGGCAAGCTGGCCAAGTCGACCACACCCAACGCCGGCGACGAGACTCTCAACAAGTGCATCAGGACCGTGAAGAAGTCCATCGTGGAGCTGGGTCATCTACTCAAGTTCAATGCGCACATTGAGGTGATCGCTGCCTACACATTCCTGACGGGCCAGTCTGGCTCCACGCCCGATGTCCAGCGCGCTCTCTACCACTTCAAGGAGTTTGCGCGCCAGCTCAACCGCTCACCCAAGATTGGCGAGCTGGTGGAGCGCATCAACGCTACGATGCTCTCGCCCAAGTCACTTGACTCAATGTTTGAGATCTTCCTGTACTGCAACTCGTTCGTTCAGGAGAGCGCAGCGCATCAGATCAACGCCAAGTACCACATCCTCACATCGTTCGAGTCGGACAAGGACATGCTCATCAGCGAGTCGGTCAACAACATTGTCTACCACCAGACGGACCTGCTGCGCCAGGCCACCGACTACCTCTCCACGCTCAACCCGGCCCGCCTCGAGGACACCACCAAGAGGATTCTCTACGCCAGTCTCCAGACGGCGCAACAATCACTGGCACAACAGGTGGAGTCTGCCATCTCACTGCTCGACAAGAAGCCACGCGATGTATCCAGTCTGGACAAGTTGGTAACAGTAATCGATGTGATCAGAGAGTCTGTGGAGAATGCAGCAAGCGCAGCATTCAACGCTCATCAACAACAGGTCGACCAGGATACGCTGATATCTCAGTCCATTGGTGGATTCATTCCAACGATATCGTTGTCCACGTCCAAGCATCTGTCCAACCCATCCAACAACGAATCCAAGAAGAAATTGGACAATGTGGTCGAGCAGATCACCATCCCCCTCGAGCAGTTGGAGCTGAGTCGCACCAGCAAGCGACCGGTCGACGCGGCCGAAGAGAAGATCCCACCACTCGTCCAAGAGGAGGAGGCATTGATCAACAGACTATTGGCCTATGTGATTGACTCGGATAAACAGGGTATTGTGGACGTGTCCAAAGCATTGGTCAAGTGTCATCAGGAGCTTGTAGGCCAAGCCGAGGCACTAGCCAGAGACGACGTCAAGGAGGCCGTAAAGGACACCGTTCAGGACCTCGTACAGCTGGTTCCACAACAGCTATCGGCCATCAAACAGGCTCTTCAGGTCACAGACAATGACCCCATCGACTCGCAGATCCATCAACGACCCAATCACATTGCCAATCAGATCAAGAGGAACATCAACAATCTTCAGGAGCTGTTGGTGCCATCGTTCAGCTCAAAGAAGTTGGCCAACCGTCTAAAGTCTCAGACGTCAAGCCCATTGCAACAGGGCGAGGCACTGAAGCAACAGGTAGTACAGCTACGTGCCACCGTTCAATCGATTGTGGACGATGCCAATCAGGAGCTGGGTTACACACTCGACCCTGAGCGCCAGCAGAGGATTCGTGACGCGATCCGCGACCTTGAGAACCGACTCAAGGGCAAGTCCAACCCCCAATCACTCGATGTCTCAACTACCGTGCTCCTGTCATCACCAAATGACTTCCCATCGATTACGCAATACGACCATGCCAAGCAGAACGTCATGGAGTCCACCAACGGACTCATTTCCGAGCTGTCTGGCACGTCACAACAGCTCCTGGCACAACTGCAACAAAGCATCAACCTGTTGACGATCGGTTCAGTTCGAGGCAACTTCAATCAGTTGCGCGACTTGACCAAGTCCATCCTGGTCGGACGTTCTGCGCTCAAGGCACAGCTGGAGAAAGACCTCGTGGCGATACAGAGCGCTGAGAAGAAGGCCATCATTGCCCATGCGCAGGGCGAGCTGGACGCTTTGCTGCCCCTGTTGATCAGAGAGTCAAAGAACTATATATTGAACAGCACCGATCACAAGAAGAGAGAGGAGCTCGAGATGCTGCAGACGAGACTGAAGGCACCCATCGCATCCATCCTCTACGAGCTGAACAACACTCAAGGCAACATGTTCCATCAACTAGTTGCCAATCATCAGTCTACGCTCATTTCGCTGGGCGAGGCAGTCAGGACTGGCAAGCGTGCCGAGTGCACCCCGCACCTAAAGGCGTTGGAAGAGATGCACGCCAAGCTTGTTGTCATGTTGGAGAAGGATCAGGTGGCCCCAACCAAGGCCATACTCAAAGAGCAAATGGCTGAAGTAGATCGCATATCCAGTGTCTACACCAAGGCAGTGGAGAACAACACTGTCTCACAAACGCTGGAGGTGGACAAGGACCTACTTTCATTCAATCTCATGCTGACCGTGGCAAACATGGTGCCCAACAAGAGTGTAGTATCAAGCAAGCGTGCAACTGGCGGCACCGACGCCGATCCAAACGATCACATCAACAACATCCTTCGATCACTCAAGTCCAACAATGTGCTCAATCTCTCCAAGAATCCAGACAAGGTCGTCAAGTATGTCTCAATTCAGAGTGGTGGCGAGCCATCACATCTGGCTAGCAAGGCATCTACCCAGACCACATCGACTTCCAAGGCAAAGGGCAAGCAGCCACTGCAGCTTGATGCCCCCAAGTCATCGAGTAGCACACCACAGAACTTGGAAGACTCGCTGATAAACACAGCCAAACAGATTGGCGCAGACATGGAGCAGATGAAGAAGATTGCCGTGGAGTTGGAGAACTATGCCAAGTGCATCAAGGCGAACGAGAGACAGAAGATGATCCAGAGTGGTCGCGCCATTGCCACACTGCTCAACGAGCTGTCAACAGACATCACAAAGATTGCCAAAGATTGCAAGGTGGCTCACCTGCAGACCAAGATGTACCAGGGCACACAGACACTAAAGACTCTAGGCTGCCAGATCAAGATTCTCTCTGGTGTGAAGGCTGTGTCGCCAGTCGATTCGCCCAATCCCGACTCTGATAATCAGTTGGCATCACTGGTGGCATTGCTTGGAACAACGCTCAAAGACATCAACACATGTATAAACACCCATTCATTGACGACAGCTGGCAGTGGCAACAAGTCAAGATCATTCATCAAGTCATGATCATCTGGCTCCGTCCACGCCTCATGTCCTGTCAAGTATAAATATATATATATTATAAACCCTACCCTCGATATCGCTTATATACTTGTGCGTCTGAAGACGATGTTTGGTATTTTATTTGATCATCTGGAAGAGGATCTGCATCTCTCCAATTGTTCAATCAATCGTCCTTTGTTCTCCCAGTAGATACCGCCAGTCTTGGAACCCATTGATTCGTACTCTGGACGGATGGCCTTCTTAAGGTTCAACTCCTCGTTTATACACTTGTCCTTGTTGTTGGCATCCTGGTTCCAATTGGTCTTTGGTCCAAAGTGGTCCTTGTTGACATCCTTGTCAAACCTCATCAATTTATCATTGTGATTGAATGGCATTACAGACTCTGATCCATAATGATTGAAATGTGGATCTCCAATTGAAATATGTTGTTGTTGTTGTTGTTGTTGTGTTTGTTGTTGAGTAGTAATATCAGTTCTTAATATATTAAATACAGAAGTGTCAACATTATTGAGGGCAGACAATGCCATCAATGATAATAAAACAGCCAAGACTGCAGGGAACAATGCTCTAAACGTCTCATTAAATGTTATATTCTGTTGTCTATGTGTTGGCTTCCTTGGATAAATACCAGGTCTTGACTTATCATATACATGTTGTTGAGTTGTTGTTGTAGTTTGGAATTGAGTTGTAGTTGACATTTTTATTAATTGTATTGTAAGAGATAAGTCAATAATTATTACTACTTTGTTGTTGTTGTTGTAATTTGGAAATCACAATTGATGTTTATTTATAAGTTGGAGAATTAAGATTGAGTGAAGACTTGCTTACCTTGTCGTCAAAGAATAACTTGTATTGTGTTCAAGGATGTTGTGTTGGGTGAGGGGGTAGGATAGACCTCAAATTTTACCTTAAAAGGAAATAGAGATTCAATTGACACCGCTGTTTGTCCGTTTGGTTGTGTATGTTTTTGTTTGTAATGTGAATGGATGGTTGAGCTCAACCATTTTTGGAGATTGTTTTACTTATTTGGAGTCCTTTTGTGACCCTGCAACTTACAAACGACAGACTAGACCGTCTTTGTCGGTATAAATAATAATTAATATTGATTGTTTATGGTAATAATATGTTTTAAGGGTGGGGTAATATTGATTGATTGACGAATTGGGTAGATACTAGATATTTATAATTGATTTAAGATTAAATTTAATTATTGAGTCTTGATTGATTGATTGATCTATCCCATAATATGATTAATTTAATAAGTTAGAATGGAATCACCTTCGATCACTTTGTAGTTGTAACTTAACCCATGGTCATTTCCAAGAAATAGATGATAGTCAACAGACGACGATTGTTGAAGGTGTGTTCTTTTTTGATGTGATCGACAAGTTTCATTGTTTTGTTGAACTTTTGTGCCAACTTTGAAGTAAATTGACATTCCTTTGTCCAACGATCATGGAACAAGAAGATGATGATATAGATGGAATTGAGTGGGAAGGTATGTGATCGCCAAACAATGATCAATCACATCATTGCTTACTTCCTTATTAACATATCTCATTGATCCACGTCCAAACCAAAGAACACGATACGACGACTGCTGACAACAACAATGAAGATGGTGATGACAACTTAATGGATCACGATACTCTTGGTGGTGGAGACCTAGATCTTGGCAGTCTTGATACTGTCACAACAACCTCATCGCTCACCTCTTCCGCAGCCTTCCTAGGCTCGTTGTCTTCCTCTACAACCACAACGCCCCCTGCCACACTTGACAATGATGACTCAATGGACATGTAAGCATCATCTGCATCCTTGACAATGACTTGTTCGCAACACATCTAACAAGTTACATTGACAATAGATTGATTGACTTTGAGAAGAAAGCCAAGAAGCCTGCAAAAACATTCTTTGAGAAGCAGTTGATCAAGAAGGAGAAGCATGAGACGTTGAACCTTCACAAGTCTATCATATTGTCTCACATTGTCAACTTTAGATACACTGCCAGAATCCTTGACAACAATATGTTGCTTCATTCATTGGTCCTCTCTCTTATTCCACATCCATTCTTCATGTTTATCAATCAAAGTGGCACACCATCATCATCAGACTCTCATCAAACTCAATCACCTCTCTCATTGCTACTACCTGATCTACTTGATTGGTTCCATTCAATCTTCAAGATTGATCATTCACACAAGTTGCCATCATTGTCAATCAATGGAACAAACACCAACATCAACAACGACAACAACAACAATAACAACAACAACAATGAGGTGATTGATGTGGACAAACTTGCGTTAAAGAAGAAGAAGAAGTTACCTGGATTGGTGGCATTGTTGGTGGATCAGTTACGTTCGGGCATTCTATCACCTCACAGCTTTACTCAGCTGTTCTATGTAGTTTGCAAGCTCATTGGAGTACCAGACTGTCGCCTTGTTGTTGCCATCAAGACACCAATGGCAACACCAATCACTCCAACCAAACAAAGACAGTTAAAGTCATCATGTGAGATGAAGGAGCGCAAAGTGCAGTCACCAAAGAGAGAGCGCAAACCAAAGAAGGAGGGAAAGCAGTCAAAGAAGGTGGATGACGATGGGGATGAGGCAGAAGAGACTGATACAAGTTCAAGTGAATCAGAGCCAAGTGATAGAGATGTGAGTGACTCGGACCATTCCGATGTTGACTCAGATGTCAGCGACTTCATTCCAGCACCAATCGTTACAAAGAGACAACAAGCAATGATACTAAAGAGGCAAGCATCAGCAGCAACCGCCACACCTCAGACCACTCCATCCAAGAAGTCACCAAAGAAAAGGGTGGCACCAGAGAGCGAGTCTGAGTCAGAGTCTGGCTCAGAGTCAGAGGAGCAGTCAGACTCACAGCAAGAGAGTGAGGATGATGGTAAGAGGAAGAAGAAGGTCAACGCGAAGAAGGGGAAGCAGCAGCAACAGAAGAAGAAGGTGATGACAAAGAAGAAGGGCGCCAAGGAAGTGACAAAGAGAGTGTCGCCAACAAAGAAGCTGAAGGTTGAGCCTGTCAAGCAACAGAAGGCTGCTGTGGAGGAAGAGGAGCCAAAGACAACGCCAAAGCCAAAGATCGAACCAAAGCCAGAACCATCTTCAGAGTCCGATCACTATGTTGACATGTGGTGTGAGTTGTTGGACAACCAGACACAACAATGGGTTGTGGTGGACGTTGTCAACAGGAGGATACAGAAGCCACATTTGCTGGAACCAAAGAACAACCCATTCTCCTATGTATTTGGATTCAATCAGGATCATGTCAAGGATGTCACATCAAAGTATACAAACAACTATATTGGCTCAAGATTGAAACGAATGCCAACTGGTCCAGCCGTCCAATGGTACATCGATCTCATGGAGCCTCTCAATCCCCACACAGACAGTCCAGCCAACAAACAAGAGGACCTGGATATCGCCAAGAAGGAGTCAGTCGCTCCCGTTCCACAAAGCTTTGCTGGCTTCAAGTCACACCCAGTGTATGTCGTTTCTCACACGCCCCACACCCAACCCATCTAACTCCGTTACCAATCAATCAGATACATATTGGACAAAGATATACCAAAGTACTGTGCAGCTGACCCACAAGCCAAACCACTTGGCAAGTTCAAGGACAACAGCTACTACCATCGCTCAACTATCAAGACATTGCATGTGATGGACAAGTGGATACAAGCAGGTAGGATGATCATGGATGGAGAGCAACCAGTAAAGGTGGTGAAAGGGCGCTCAGCCTCGTCGCCACACGCACAGTTGTTTGGCGAGTGGCAGACAGAGGTGTATCGGCCGCCAAAGATCATCAACGGATACGTACCGGTCAACACATTTGGAAACGTCAACATGTTCAAACCAGAGATGGTGCCGATTGGTGGCGTGCATCTGAAGCAGCGTGGACTGGTCCGAGTCGCCAGGAGACTGAGCATCTCGGTCGGTCCAGCCATCGTGGGCTGGGAGGTTGGTCGTTGTCACTCACACCCAGTCATCCAAGGTGTGATCGTGGCGCGAGAGAATGCCAAGCTGCTAATCGAGGCATGGATAGAGGATCACAGGAACCGACTCAAGGAGGTCAAGAGAAAGAAGCAAGAGGCCATCGTCAATCGCTGGAAGTCATTCTACAAGGCACTACTTGTCAAAGACTATGTCCAATCGACCTATGGCAAAGAGGACATATCCACCACTCATCGACTAGTCAGTGAGGAAGATGACCAACCTTTACAAAGCATTATTACCTACTCATCCGACTCAACATCATTATCCAACAGCAAACAAGTCACTCAAACACCTACATCCACGCCAACATCCACGCCCACAAAGACTACACAATCATCTCCAACGACAACCACGACGACAACTACAACTACGACTACTGCCAAAACTTCAACAAAGACAACAACATCCAATATAGAAGAGGACGAGTATGATGACCCAGACTTCACCCCAGCGATCATACACAAACCATTGAGCAAAGGAATCAAGAGTAGAAGAACGAAGTAGTTGATGCGATACAAGGACAAAGGAGTATGCCATAGACGAAAGAGTTGTATTAAACTAATCAATCAAAGCAAAAGTAAGCGCGCGCTAAACTTATGGCTTCTGGGCAATGAACTTGGCTGGCTCGGTACCAACGGTGATGTAACCAAAGTTGAATGGCTGGTTGGGGTAGAGGATTGGGTTCCAGGCCATGACCCAGGTGGAGTTGGAGCGGACAAGACCCCAGATGGTGGTTGGGTTGAATGGCTCAGAGGTAATGAACGATGGCTGCTGGATGTTGTCGGTGCCATAGTTGATGAGGTTGGCGCTGAACTGGGTGTACTGGTTGACGCCGTCGAACCATGAGTTGGTGGCAGTCTGGGTGATGTTGATTGGCTGCAGACGGTCTGGTGACTGGCAGGCGCACTGTGGTGGGATGTAGTAGATCGAGGTTGGACGGTTGCAGTAGGTTCCGAACCAGGCATCGGCGGCAGCACGACGAACACCACCGATGATGCGGGGTGGGGTTGGGCGGAGACCAAAGTAGCGGCTGAAGATGTAGTTGGAGTCGATTGGCAAGTTGGACATGCAGATCTTGCAGTAGAGGTCGGCGTTGAAGGTACCCCAGACGACGGTCTTGAAGTCGGACCAGAGGATGGAAGCGGCACACATGGCGCATGGCTCACCAGTGGTGTACAGGGTGAAGTTGGTGTATGAGCGGATTCCGTGGAGGGCAGTGCAGTTGTTGATGGCGACGGTCTCTCCGTGAGCAATCATGTTTGGCTTGCCAGTGTTGATACCAATGCAGGCAAGGGTGTTGTTGGGAAAGTAGATCGAAGCAACGAACTTCTTGTTGTTAACACGGGCAATGTCGATGATGTAGTCCATGTTGGCCTCATGAATAGCAAGTTCCTCGGCGGACAAGTCTGATGGCGACAAGATTGGGAGCTAGAGTGAAGGAGAAGTTAGTTTGAGTTATGTTCGATGATAATGGACTGTATTAGGTAACTTACATCGTTGACGTTTCTGTAGTTAGCGGTGTCTTGGGTTTGGCATTGTCCCATGGTGACGGTGGCTGGGTCGTAGGCGTCTTGGCAAGCCAAGGCAACGGACACCAACATGATGGTGAAGATGATAGTCTTAATCATTTTGTAAGATGTTGTTGTAGTAGTAGTAGTTGTTGTAGTAATACAAAGGTTTGAATTGTAATGATTTAGGACTTGTCTTGACGGGATTTATAGAGAATCAATCTCAATCATTAGAGCCTGTTGGTAGGCCTGGCCTGGCGTGATGCGTGTGTTAGTGTCTAGAGTGTTTAATCACTTTGCCGTAAGCAAGTTAGTAAAAACTACTATGGCCCATTAATAGAAACATATTGGTACTTGGACATCAATACACCTATCAACCTACCTTTGAGGGTACGTCTCGGACAAACCTTGAGTCAAGTCCATCAGGACCGTCCCCACACACAAATTAATGTTGTGTGTTTTGATCAATGGTGGGATGTTTGCAAAGTGGGGGGTTGTTTGATTGTGATCAAGTAGTGTCAAAGTGTGGGCCCCATTTTTAGATCTCGAATATGCGCTAGACGGGTCCAAGTACCATGGTTGGTACCCTGTTTTGTTTACAATGGACTTTGTTAACAGATCTAACGGCTATTCCATTCGAAGATCTTGAAGGAAGGAAGTTAGTGGTGAGATGTTATTTGCGTGACACGAAACCATCACTACTCACCTAATAGTAATATAGTTTGTAGTTATTAATAATGATGATGATGGTGAGGGTGATGGTTTTGATGATAATAAGGTCGTACCCTTGTATTAATGAAGTAGTTTGGTATACCTACCCATCTATGATCATTTATACCCAGATTGTGACATTCACAACCTGTTACCGACTTCCTGATTTGTAACCTAAAGGTTGTTTATAGAAATATAATATGTCCTGGATCGAGGACAACAACCTCATCATCTGTTTTGGTATATCATATTCACCCGATCAGATGATCAAAGCACAACACCTGTTGTATCTTCTGATCACACCAGTCCGACTTCGTTCCTGGTCAACTTATTGTTTTAGTCTTTCTTAAAACTATACTAGCATCTAGAGATAGAGATAATGATTGTAGTAATAGTAATAATTAACTAAGACTTTGTTTTAACTATGAGGCCTCAGGTGGATAGAATGATCAGACCGTTAAAGATATTTTGAGTGCATCCTTTCAAATAATTTGAACCATCTTTCATTGATGGCCGTTCGCATTGGATGATGGGGTAGGGAGTCGACTAACCCCCTATCAGACTTGAATACTTGAGTGATAAACATAACATTGATCATCATTCTTACTCATATACTTACACTTAGCATTTGTACATTACTACTACTATATTCTATAACTATACATTATTATCTATCAAATGATAAAGGATCAATAGAACAATAATAATTGTAGTTGATTGGTTGATTGAACGAACAAAGACAAGCATACACTTTATAAGTTTGTATGTAGTACTACATCAATGATGTCTTGATATGGTTATTATACTATAAATGGCTATCTTGTCATATATGGTCATCACTTCCTGATATAGACACTAACTCAAATCATCATCATTCATACCTGGAACGACATTCATTCATTCAATCAATCACTTCATTCCAATCATTCAATCAAAGTACTATCTACTATCCCAGAAATGTCATACTCATCCTCTCAATTCTGGGAACCTATCAATGCAACGGCTGAGAAGCCTGTGATTAGAGGCGATGGCATTCGTGTGTTTGGCATGGATGCTGAACTTGAGCTAAAGATGCAATCAAAACGCGATCCAGAGTATGAGAGCGAGTTGGCACAGTGGATTGAACAGGCGACAGGCATGCAGCTGGAGTTTCCCAATGACTTGGTCGAGTCACTGCGCAGTGGCATCGTGCTCTGCACGCTCATCAACACACTGATTCCCGATACAATCAAGAAGATCAATATGAAGCCAATACCAATGTTCCACCTGGAGAACATCAGTTTCTATCTGAAGGGCTGCTGGTCGGTGGGCCTGCCCTCATCCGATCTCTTTGTGGCCACCGACCTCTACCACCGCAAGGACATTGCGCAGGTCATCCAGAACCTGACGTCGGTGGCGCGATCAGCCCCAAACTGCCCGCACTATAAAGGACCCATCTTTGGCCAGGTCAAACACAAACACTCTTCGCCAACGATCAACCCGGCGCACGATCAGACGACAGAGACGCAGGAGGATAGGTTCGCTCCGCCCCTGCTCCTGAACGGGACCAAGCCAGGTCCCAAGGACTCCATATTCTGTATATACTGCGGCTCCAAGAAGACCTGCAACAAGTGCGATCATGCAGGCGATGAGAAGCTGGCCAAAGAGCGCGATGAGCTGTCGGCGCGCTCAGACAAGTTGGAGGCTCTTCTACAAGAACGCGACGAGCGCATTGAGCAGGATCGCATGTACAGTGAGAAGAAGGAGAAAGAGTGGTATGAGCTGGTCGAGGGCCAACAACTACAACTGGAGCAGAAGCAGCGACAGCTTGTCTCACTGGAAGCACAGAAGTCTTTGGAGTTGCAGAARGCTGGAGACCCAGAGAAACAGTGAAGCTCAGGTGGCACTACAGTTCCAACACCAGCTTGATGAGGAACGCGAGTTGGTCAAGCAGTTGGAGCTGGAGGCAAAGAGGGCTGCCTCCATGCACAGGGCGTTGGAAGAGCAGCGAGTGACAGAGGCGGAGCGAGCATCTGAGCTACAACGACTGTTTGACTCACATAAGAAGCTGGCGACAGAGATGGAGCTGGACTCTTCACGAGCATTGGAGCAACAACATAATGCACACGTACAGAAGGAGAATGAGATAAAGCAGTACCTCGACCAACTGAAACATCAAATGGAGGCACAACAAAGAGACTCGAGCGAGAGGCATGCTGAGGAGATGATTGAGATGCAGACCAGACACACAGAAGAGGTGACCAAGCTGAAGCAAGTACAGAGCGAGTTGGAGCATGCACAACGAGAAGAGGTTGCCAAGTTGGTGAACACTCAGCGCGAGTTGGAGGACCAGCATGCATTGGAACTCTCAAACATGAGGGCGAAGCATGAAGAGTTGGAGAGGAAGCATTCATCCGATGTGTCCACACTCACTCAAGAGCATGACGAACTGAAGGCCAGACTATCTTTGGAGGTCAACAAACTGAAACAGGTACGAGTCGAGCTGGAGACTAATCATTCATTGGAGGTGTCCAAGCTGAGGACAGCACATGATAAGATGGAACAGACACTTCGTTTGGAACTGGCCAACATGAACGCGAATCATGAGTCAGCACTGAGGGAGATGGACGAGAAGAGCACATTGGAGACCAAGATGGCGCAGGACTCCCTAAACACATTGATGGCCAAGCACGAGCTTGAGATCAGACAGGAGAAACTATTGATGAAGGAGATACAGGAGACACATGCAGTGGCGACACAGAAGGCTCTTGATGTTCAACACGAGTTGGCAACAGAGCGAGACGAAACAGCCAAACGATTGCGATGTGTCGAGTTGGAGTTGGAGCAACACAGTGCAGAGGCCCAGCAAGCCCGCCAGGCATTTCAAGAACGATTGGGCGACATGTCGAGGCAGCATGATCTCGACGTGCAGGGGTCCACCGAGCTACATGGCAGACTGGAGGCAAAGGCTAAAGAGTGCGACGAGGCTTTGACAGAGGTGGTCAAGACACAGGAGGAGCTTCAACAGGCGAGACAAGTGTGCGACCAGAGAGCAAAGGAGTTGGACCGTGTGCAAGAGACGAAGAGACAACTGGAAGACAAGTGCCAGGAGATTGGAAATGAATTGGCCGCACTCAAGGAGTCCAGCACGAACAAGGACATTGACACACAGAAGGAGATATCCACTCTGAGGAAACAAGTTGGCCAAAAGGACGTGGCATTGCGCGCCGCGGCACAAGAGCGCAAGCACTTGGAGGATCAGCGCGACCGTGAGGCGCAGAGAGTGGTCGAGGCGCAGAAGGAGCTGGAGGTCCAACGTGCACTGTACATCATTCCAATGGAGAAGACCATCGACTCTGGCAAGCAGTCGATAGAGCAGCTCGAGCAAAAGGTCGAACAACATCAGCTTCAGTACAGACAGCTCACACAACAACTGCAGAGTCTTGAGCAGAGGGTACAGACATACAGTACCGAGGAGGTGAAGCTACAGGAGCAAGTGCAACAATACGAGACGCAGGCGCTACAGCAGCAAGAGCAGCTACAACAACAAACAGTGCAGATACAACAACTCGAGCAGGTGTCCCAGCAGCAGACCACCGACATCCATGATCACCAACTTCAAGTCCAAGAGAAAGACAAGAGAATCCAAGTGCAGGACAAGCGTATCCAGGAACAGGCAAGGTGTATTGAGCAACGAGATGAGCAGGTCAAGGTGGCAGACGAAAGGATCAAGGTGATGGAGGTGCAATGTAAACAACAAGAGAGTCGTCTGCAGGAGCAGGATAAGTCCATCAAGCATCTGACTGAGCAGACTGAACAGAGAGACGAGCAGCTCAATCTGAAGAATGAGTTGGTGATTCAAAAGGATCAGGAGATTCAACAGCTCGTTGACCTACAAAGACAACAGGAAGCCAAGGTGAAGGAGCAGGATACTCTGATACAACAACTCAAACAACTGGATCAGGGACAATCACAAACCATTCTGGAGCACTTGGAGCAGGTCCGCGATCAAGACAAGCTCATCAAGCATCAAGAACAACTCATACATGACAAGGACCAGCGTATCCAGCAACAAGACCATCGTATCCAGGAGAAAGAGCGTCGCATCCTGGAGCAAGACCATCAGATAAAGACACAAGATCAACGCATCAAAGATCACGACAATCGCGCCCAAGAGCAAGTCCAGCAGATCCAAGTGCAGGACCAGCGCATCCAGGAACAGGAGCAACGAATCAGTGATCAGGACATGATAATCAAGGAGAAGGATCAAGTTGCCAAGCAACACCAACAGAGTTTGGAGAGCCAGGCCCTACGAATTCAGAGTCTCGAGCAACTTGTCCAGGAACAGCTTCAGCGCATCAATCAACAAGATGAACTTGTAGACACACAAACACAACAACTCAAACAACAGCAAGCACAGTATACACGAGCAGTAGAGAAGCAGGAGCAACAGCAACAAACTCATACTCAACAGCTTGACACCCATGCAGCCGAACATACCGAGCAAAGACAGATCATCGAGCAGCAACGTCATCAATTGCGCGAGAAGGAGGAGCAGATCGAGGAGCAGCAGCAACTGGCCTCTCAGCAAAGTCATCACATTCAACAACAACGTCAAGAGAATGAGCAACAAGCAGTTCAGATTGAGCAACTACTTCAGCAACTCGAACAAAAGAGTCAGCATACTTTGGCACAGATGAAGCAGTCTCAGGATGTGGAGGACAACCTACAAACCACCATTGACCAGCAGGAGAAGAGGATCGCCCAGTTCTTGCAGCAAGCCAAGGAACAAGAGTCTGAGCACCACAATCTGTCCGAACAGATCCAGTCCAAAGACAGTCAGCTCCAACTCATCCAGAGACAACATGCACAGCAACAGCGCGACTTAGCCGAACTCAACAACCAATACAGCAGCGTGGTGAAGGAGAAGAATGAGCTATCAGAGAGCGTTCAGTCCATGATAAACTCTATGAATCAACAGGAGGAGACTCTTGACAAGCTGAACCTTGCCCTGACCGAGGAGAGGAAGCAGAGCGAACAGAAGCTGAAGGAGCAGCGACAGGAGCTAGAGCATAAGTACCAGCAGCCAACCAATGGAAATGGTGGATATCTCGAGCGTGTCCAACGACCTCCCGCCATGCCTGTGTCCAAGGTGGCAGTGACAATGTGGCCGCAGATCAGGCCTGCAGAGACGACCGACAAAGAGGTGGAGAGACTTGAGAAGCTGGTCCAGTGTCTACAGAAGAGTCTGGCTGATGAGCTAGCACGGTCCAAGGTGCGAGAGTCAACCATCAAGCTGCTAGAGGATAAGATGCATTCGATGCAGGCACGTCCACGCAAACAAAACATGGTGATTCTTGGCAAAAAGCGATTCAACTCAATTACAACAGATGTCTTGGACAACAGATTGGTGGAGGATACATACAAGTGTGTACAGAGCATCCTTTTCTCACGTCCAATCGAAGACCATCAGGTGGATTCACTCAACTTACTGTTAAAGACTGAGGCTGGACGAAGAAGGTTCTCACAGATCCTCCACATGACCCTGAAACAAGTTCCCAACATTGTGCTGTCCCAAGACTCCTTCGAGGTGCTCCTATTCCTAATCAATGCCACTCTACAAGAGATGGATATCAGCAAGGAGCACGATATCATCACCGCCAAGTATGTGTACCTTATCTCCCAACTGAATGATCAACATACTAACTTTATACAAACAGAGTAATACTTCATGCATCTAGCTCGCTTTATCGCATCACAGAGTCTGATCAACAAGAGTTTATCAAAGACTTCATCAGGAGCTCACCAGTGTGGAGGAGCATCAAGTTCTGGGAGACATACTTTTGGGAACAATTGGCCAAGAGACACAGAAAGAGATATGACAACGTGGAGACGGTGGACAAAGAGATTGTGTCCAACCTACTCAGCTTCTTTGGTGTCAATATGATCCACTTCTCAGTTCCAGCGGATGACATTAAGAACTTCCTCATTGACATTTCACAGTCAAACGGATTGTCCTACTCAGAGGTCAACATTGTATTGGTATGTCGTTGGTGGATATTATCTCCCTTCAATCATTCTAATACTAACCTTTATTCATATAATAGGACTTCCTCAAATCACAACAACCTCCACCTTCATCCAATGGCAAAGGAGATGTACCCTTGTCTCCTTCTTTGAAGAAAGATAATAAGAAGACACAACCATTCCTACGTCGCTAGGGACTACCTTGTAATCACTTCACAATACCCACCACGAGGATATCATCTGTCCTCCCTGGAACATGTTGGTTGATATAATAAACTGACTGGGACATCGTACGAACAACACCTCCATCATGGTTGGTTGCAGTGCCAATTACCTTCAAGGTGCTTGCACTTTGTGATACTTTATATATTGATTGAGTGGCAATATGACCATGTCATGTACATTGGGTCAGAACAATCTGACTGTGAAGGGAAGGAGAAGAGTTGTCCAGTCTAAGGTCTGGATGGAGAACGTCCATTGTTCTCCTTGGCGACTCTACATCCATCGCATTGGTTGGACTTGCGGCAGTTGTGGTTCAGTGTCAAGTGGAGGAGGATGACATTACGCTGGCCTCTCTCGCTACAGTTGGTGTGTGGACACTTGATTGTGTTGGTATCCAAAATGTTGTCATCTTCTTCTTCCTCGATATCGGTGCTCTCATCACTGTCGTCATCAGAGTGATCTTCCTCGTCACTAATGAGAGAGTGTTTGCGCTTGAGAATTGGTGATGCAGGAGCCACCTCTTCTTCCTCCTCTGGGAGGACTGGATCTGGTGGTGTCGTTGTACTCTTTGTCGCTGTCCTCTTCCTGGCTGTTCGAGATGAGGCATTCAGAGATGGACTACAGCCTGGGCAAGTGATATGATCTATGCAGTCGTGAGTAAACATCCTAGCTACATGTCCTGGCAACATCTGTTTGCTGAGGAAGAGGTTGCAACTAGTGTGTAGACACTTGACTAATCCTGCCTCCAGAAACAACTTGATCGACTCGGTGTCGTCGGGTGTGGCAGTGAACTTGGATACCCTGTAGGCGCGACTGTTTGGACAGTCACAAAATCTGCCTGAGCATCTATGCCCATAGTAACAGTGTGATTGAACGTTCGTGAATGATTTGAATGACATAGAGCAGCCATCATGTAGACAGGACTTCATTCCACTCTTCTCCTGCGCCAGGGGTACCTCTTTTGGTGACACTTTGAGAGGCTTGGCTGGTTGGGGCAGCTCTGTCTTTGGCACTGACTTCTCTGTCTTTGGCGCGGACTTCTCTGTCTTTGGCACCGACTCCTCTGACTTTGGAACCGAGCTTGTCTGTCTAGCGTCTGGTATGATAATTGGCTTGGTTGTTGTCTTGGGAACCTCTGGTTTGGGTTGAGTTGGTTTGGATGGTAATTCGATGGATGGAGTTGCCTCTGGCTTGGCGATAGGGGGCGAGGCATCACACTTTGGACATCCTGGGCAAGTCTTGGGGTTGTCACAGTAATGTTTGGCCTGCATATGTGAAACCATGTTTACTTTCTTCACAAACCACCTTTCGCATGGCAGATTCTCGCACTTGACATATCCACGTGCCAACATCATTTCGATTGATGCAGTGTCGTCGTGGGATGCACTAAACTTGACCTTGTTTCCAGGTATGTTCGGGCAACTAGCGAATGTGCCAGAACAACCATGCTCCTTGGAGCAGTGGTTGAGCATTCTGCAACCTTTTAAAAATGGCTTGCCGCATCCAGTGTGTCCACATATGAGCTTGGTCTTTTTGTGTCCATGATCGCCGGGACTGCTGGGTTGGGAGACGTGAACACCCAGACTGGTGTTTTGATTGTCCGCCACATGATCTTGATGGTGTTGGGCTTTGTCACTGTCAGCACTGATTGAAATGGTGTCCATTGATGTTGCCATAGGTTCTGATTGCTCATCGGTCGATTGGTCTTTGAAGGACTTGACCCTCTTTGTCCTAGATCCACCATTCTGTATATGATAACAACCCTCGCAGTTACCCTTGTCGAGACATTGATGCTTGTCTGCCTGTCTGACACAGTGCTCCAACATTGACTTCTCATTGATAAACCATCTTATGCATGTTGTGTGTAGGCATTTGAAGAATCCATCCGCCAACAGCATCTTGTTGGAGGCCTCATCTTGTATAGCTGCCTCAAATGCGTAGCGACGGTAGTTGCGTTCATTAGGACAGGTTGCATATGTAGAAGTGCATCCATGTTCGTTCTTGCAATGGCGGATCATATCGGTCAACGATTTCCAGTTATGATGGCAACCCGTATCACTGTGCAAGCATTCCAATACGAAGTTTGGACAGGTGAAAGGCTTTGAATCACAACTATGAACAGTTGAACAATGGTCAGCCTCCATGTCCTGCACCACACAGCCAACATGTTGGCAAGCCTTCATGATGTTTGTTGTCTATTATTCTCTCTTTATTCTCTTAGACGTGAATATAAATTAATGTCTGTTGTTGTTATTGTAGTTGTAGGTTATTGTTATAAGTACTTGTTAAGTAAAGTATAATAATAATAATAATAAACGATAATGAGGGAGTAAGTGATAGTAATGCATTGACTTGAAAGAATGAAATGAAGAGTAGTGTGTGTTTAGGTTCTGTTGTTGAAAAGTGAAGGGGTTCTTTGTGAAGTTGCAAAGTGGTGAGAGTTCGGTCAATCAAACAAGAAGTGAACTTATTCCATTTATGGTATTGTTATCCAAATATGTAAACATTGTTGAATATGTACTAATACTAATACTACTATTCTGTCTTGACTCCCCCAACAAATCATGTATGAATGTGTCATCCATCCAGTCCACGATAACTAATTTGATTGACCATTACATGTACAATGTTATTGAGCTGCCTTACAAGCAAGAGCCAGAGCTTGATTGTATTATAATATTATTAACCATTGATGATGAGTTGATTGTTGGAGATTAACTTGTACTTTGTGGCAAACTGAGTGAATCGTTTACAAATGAGAGTGTTGGTCTCGATCTCATCATACAGCTCTCTATGATGAAAGAATGCATGAGCAAACAGTCTATACAATCTTCGAACCGTTGATTGTAACTGCTTCAATGATTCTTGTGATATCTCAATTGATCTATGTATGTTTAAAGTGTTAGTCATTCATTCTTGCTCCATTCATTGTCGCTTATTCATTCTACACTGATTCATACCTCTTGGGGAAGTGTTTATCACTGTTTAGCAATGTGGCAGTACTATCCAGCATGTGTACAATATAATCGATGGCACAACAGTCCTGTGTCTGTTGTTTAGCATGTGCGGCACAGAGGAATAACCAATCATCGGTGGCCTTCATCTGTGGACATGTCTGTGAATTGCAAACATCCTTTAGAAGCACTGCATACTGATTCAACTCCAAAGTGAACTGTCTAACATGTTCATACTGCCATAGTCCAATATCCTGTGACTCTGGTGGTTCCAATATTGCGTCAATATCCAATATATCCTTTCCTGGTATTGTGTTAACAATTGAGCGTGAGTGAGTATGATTGAGGAATGCAATATTGAACACATTATGATTGCGCTACTACATACTAATCTTATCTTGTATGTATTCTTGTGTAGCGTAGTTGCTTTCGATCTTTTCATAAGGTAGAGGTTCCCAACTATACAGGTCAGCGTTCTTTGAACCTATTCTATTCCTTCTCAATGAAGTTGTTGTTGTAGTGGTAGTCGTCATTATAATACAATATATATAGATCTTAATTCAAATTATAATATATAAATATATAAATATGTACAAATACAAATACAAATAGAGACAGAGATATTTGATTGATTGAGTTATGATGAATGATCAATGAAGTAGCCTTGAGAATAAGCCCGGGCTTTAATTTTGGATGAATCAGGGATGAATGATTATTTTGATTTTTTCTTTTTGGTGTGTGAGGAATTGTATGGGAGAATTTTGTGCGTGGGATTTTTGAATGAAGAGCGAAATGAGACCCAAGACAAACTGAATGATATGAGTGAAGGCTGACTTGATACGAGTCCTTTTTGTTTTTCCATTCAATCAGACCCTAAAAGGTACATACAATATATCGACTAGCTCAACAATGGCTACAGACTGGGCAGCGTCATCACATCAATCAATCAATCAACAATGCGATATTCAGGATCAATTCAAACATCAATGTTCGCAAAGACACAAGACTTTACAATATTATCAATCACACTGAGTGATACAGTTGATAAACGAACAAATGAATGAATGAATAATGAACGACTGAACGAATGAACGAACGAATGAATGAATGAATGATCACAATCAAGAAATGACAATAGTTGAGATTATAGTTTGACTCATCAACTACGATTATCGACTTGCGACAAGCGACAAGCGACCTGCCCAGCATCACCTACACCTACTAGTCAAGTCAAAGAAGATGAAGATGTAGAAGAACAAATATGCTAATACATTCATGTCGATTGTCATTGTATACATGTAGATAACAATGGCCAGAGAGTTGTGGTTAAGTCACCCAAGAGATATGGGACCCGGTTCCCGCAAGTGCCGTACCTGTGGTAATCACCACGGTCTCATCAGGAAGTACGCCCTGAACATGTGCAGACGTTGTTTCCGTGCCAACGCTGAGGCCATCGGCTTCCACAAGGTAAGACCAACAGTCAACATCTTTATCATTCATTCAACATAACCATACTAATTCCAACCATCTACCTTCACACTCATACAGTACCGTTAAGCAGCAGTTCCCTATTCAACATTATATGCTTGATGTAGCCAATAAATGCTCCTTTGACCTGATTGATCATTTGCGTCTAGCATCATGTTATTTGCATTATTTGATTGATTGATTGAATGATTGATTGGATGATTGGTTGTTGATTGAATGAAAGGATGAATGAATGATGATCACAATGATGAAGACAATGATGAAGACGACGATGATGATGATATTGATTGGGACATGGACATTTTATTTATATATATCTACATTTACACTTATTGGTTTGGTTTGGTGGATGGGATGGTCTTGATTGAACACATAGATAGTGATGGTGTGTGCGTGAGAGCGACTCTGCACATCACAACACAACACGTCAGCGTATCTTTGTGTCACTTTCTCTTGAACCAGCCAGCACCTGTATAGGCTGTACTCTCTCGTCCACCTTCAGAGTGGTAGAGAGGCAAGTCGTGGGCTGGTTGGAATGGAATTGGGGTCGACCAGACGATCGTTTGATTGATTGTTATGGTTATAGGTGGTATTACTGCAAGGGGAGTTGGTATTCTCGTTGGAATCCCAGTTGTTGTTGTTGATGGTATGTTGTTTATAGTTGTTTGAGTTGGGTTGATTGGTTGGTTGTCGAGAGGGGAGGGGGATCGTAATAAATACTATTATAGTATATCATTGATTGAGGAAAGGAAAGAGGAAGAGGGAAGAGAGGAGATGGAGGCATTGATTGGTGTAGGTTGTTCACTGCTCGAATCCAAATGTTATGTGTTGTTGAGTTGAAGCAGTGAAGTGACTGACTGATTGACTGATTGATTGAATGTATCGCATCGATGTGGGGCATTAGTTGTTGGCAGAGGTGGAGGTGGTGGTCGTGGAGGGGTGAGGACGACGGGTTGATGCCAGACGGATGATTAGACGGCGATGGCGTTCGGAGTTGTGGTGGAGGACGATGATATGGGCTGTGAAATCATGTGAGGAAAGAGCGGCGAGGGTTGTTCGATGAGGTGCATCGCGTGGGTTGGGATGATGATCTTGGCATAGTTGGGCCCCATCGCCAACTGCTCGGCAATGGTGAAGTTGAATAGTGGAGGCAGACCTCTGCCATCGGGGAACATCGTCTTTGGATCCCTGAGCTCATTGAAGAATGGATGTGCTATAATTTCGATTGGCTTCAAACGAGCTGATGGGTCATAGTGTAATATCTTTGAGATCAGATCTATTGCCTCGGGTGGGACCTATATTGAACGATTGATTGATTGATTGATTAGTTAGTGCTTGTCGCGACAACAATGTAATCTGATAATGATACATACATCTCTCGACTTGAATACCTTTGACCAAGGATTGGCCTTGATCTCTGGGAACTTAAATGAAGAGTAATGAGGATTCATAACAAGAATCTGCTCTTTGGTAGGTGTACCCAACACCTTTATGATCTCGACCAGTTGATCAATACCATTCTCGCCTGGGAACAACTGCTGTCCAAGGAGAAGCTCTGCCATCACACATCCAAGTGACCATATATCTGTTTGTTATTGTAACATCATGTTAGAATAGACTAGCTTGATTGATTGAATGATTGAATGATTGAATGAATGAATGAATATACATACCGATTGTTGTTGTGTAGTTTGTTGAGCCAAAGATGAGCTCTGGGGCTCTGTAGTGCCTTGAGCAGATATACGAAACGTTCGCTTCGCCCTTGACGAGGATCTTGGCGCTTCCAAAGTCACATAACTTCAATACACTGCTCTGTGTGTCCAGCAGGAGGTTCTGGGGCTTGATATCTCTGTGGCAGATGCCAAGTGAGTGGGTGTAGCTAATGGCTCGACACAACTGGTAAATGTATAGTTTGACACATAGTAGCGGTATTGGCTGTTTCGACAATGCATAGTGTCTGGTTATCCTGTAGACTGTATCGGGTACATATTCCAAAACTAGATTGAGGTAGACCTCGTCGTTCTGGAGAATGGTGGGAGACAAAGAGAGATAGATAGAGATAAAGAGAGAGGGAGATAGAGAAGTAGATAAGAAGTAGAGAATAGAGAATAGAGGGGTAGAGTGTGATGGGAGTTATTGAGTTAATACGTGTACCTTTGGACATATATCTTCCTGTCCCTGTTTATGATCCATACATCTGTCGTGTAGAAGCTGTTCTTCAACTGTACGATATTAATATGATTCAACATCTTCATTATCTGTAGCTCTCGGTTCTATTATGTATGTATGAGTGAGGGTAAAGAGATAGAGAGGGGATAGAGATAAAAGATAAGAGATAAGTAATAAGATATATGAGAGTAAGTAAACATTTAAATATAATGGTATATATAATGATTCCAATTAATTACCTTGTATCTTTGATCTTGCAACACCTTCTTGATGGCTACAACCTCCTTGGTGTCTGCTATGATTGCCTGGGTGACAACACCGAATGAACCATTGCCTACGACTCCCTCGGTGATGTAACAGACACCATTAGACTTGATGATGACCTTGTCAAACTTATTACGAAGCTTTGACTTGTTCTTATCCTTATCGTCTTCTTTCTTGTCTGTACTTTGAAGAGGGTCCTTTGTACTCATTTTTTGTTGTTGTTGTCAATTATTGTTGTTATTGTTGTTGTCGTTGATATTATTGATTATTGATTATTATTATTATTATTATTATTATTATACACAAGTTGTAATATATATATTATATAAATATTATTAAGTTGTTATTGCTGTATTGTATGTGAGAAGAAGAAGATGTAGCTGTAATCAGATGCAGTGATATGTATGAGTGTATCGCATCAGATACAATACAAGATTCCTGGATGAAGTAATCTGTATATATATATATAAATATAATATAAATATTAAGTCGCAACTCGGTTGTGTTGTGATTAATGTATGAGTGTAGTCGTCGATGTGTAACTGAAGCAACAGCACCCTAATTTACTACTATCTATATTGACTGTTGTTGTAGTTGAGTTGTTCGCTTTGTCGACTTGGTTTGTTATAAATATTTCTAAAGTATGTATGTATATATAAATATAAACAAGTTAATAATAAGAATGAATGAATGAATGAATAAGGAGTGAGTGCAACAGGCAGTTAATAAGAGTTGTTTAAATAAAAGTTGTTTGCTGAATGAGCTTGACTTGAATGATAGTTGTTGTTGATATTGATTGTGGATGGATGGAGAATGTGTGAGTGAGAGAGTGAATGAATGAAAGCTGGAGTAGGAGGTGAAAGAGAGCGTGAGTGTGTTTGGGAAAGAGACGGTGAAGGGAGTTGAATGAATCAATTTTTTTATGTTAGTTTTTTTTTTTCACCCCATCTCTTTGGAGTCAAACCATCATTCACACTCTCTTTTATGGTCTGTCCATCCACAAACAAGTGCACAAGATCTCTCTATGTTATGGATTGATTCTGTTTGTGTGTGTGTGTGTGTGTTGGTGTTGTTGGAGGATAGATTGATTGATTGATTGGTTGTGTTCAATTTCAACAACCTTAACAATCTTGATGAGTTGGTTAGTGGGGTGTGTCTCTTCGTTCTGGACCTTCAAGTTCCGGTGATCGGTTGTTGGACTGGAAGTAGGTGTGGTGTGGGTAGAGGAGACAGGGATCGGATTGGTCCGACAATGAAGTGAATGATTGATTGATTGATTGATTAGGACATGCTATGTGGTTACAATAAGTGTTCACAATACATTTATGATTGGTATTTCGGAGGAGTCCATGTCTAATGTGTCGATGTTCGGAGTTAGATTGGACGGACATGGAGATTGGGGCATGGTGCTTGGGGAATGTGGCTAGGAGGATGACGTGTGACAGTCATCTGATTGAATTGAATTATGCCAGCTTGGTGTATGATGGTGGATCGATTCTCTGCTTGATGAGATTGAACAAAAAGATTGGGAAGCAGCAGACAAACACTATGACCGTCACCTTCCACCAGAACTCACCAGAGAGAATGAATGACAGCTCTGTCAGTGAGTGGACATGGATGTTAGTGATCAATCATATGGTTAGGAGTTGTCTCGCGAAAATAACATACCGAATGCTGTGATCTGAGGTATCATCATGGTGACTCCATAGATGATCAATGTGCCAACCAATGAGATGATCATGTATCGGTGCCATGTGTGTATCTCCACCATGACATTGATCAACTCTACCAAGATCAGTGCAGTGAATGTGATCGATACAATATAGTTCAAGTTGCTTTCAAACAGTATAATGGACAACAACATGATCATTCCACCTTGATAAGCACTCTTCAATACCCATATTGCGAATGTCTTGTATGATAGTGATCGACCCTATAAGTGATTGATTGATTGATTGGGTTAGTATGAATGAATGAATGGATCCACGACTTCCAACCTACCTTTTGTAGTTCATGATATAGCTCTGGGAATCTAAAGACAATGTCTTCGGAGACATCCTCGTCAAGGATCAATGAGAAGATTGGTGCGTTGGTGTATACTGTGGCATATCCAACCAGCAGTGCTCCATTGTAAATTGAGATGGCGGCGTAGTAGTAGATGGCCGAGAAGACACATTGAATGAATGAGATGATCAGACCTCTGTGAATGACAAACTGGGACAGACTGGCCGACCTCTTGTATGAGTTCCTTCCATGCCATACTATTTGATTGATTGATTGATTGTTTGGTTAGTGATCGAGTCCATCAATCATAGGGTTCGAATGATACATACAAACTAGTCTACTGAGATAGCTGAATTGATTGATTGAGAAGTCTGCTGCTAGGGATGCTTGCTTGCCTTCCTTGCCAACGATTCCGACACCAACGTCGGCAGCTTGGATCATGCTGACATCGTTACCACCGTCACCAATGGCACATGTCCTCTTCTTGGTCTTCTCCTTGATCAGGCGGACAATGTCTGCCTTTTGTGTTGGTGAGCAACGGCAGCAAACGACGGATGGTGCCTTGGACGCGATGCTGATGAATTGGTCCTTGTAGTTGTCCAGACAGAGCTGGAGCGATGGACCGTCAATGATGAGACAGGCATCGCGCATCCTTGAGAACTGGTTCAGTTTCTCAAAGGCTCTCGTCTTGTCGCTGACAGAGATCTGGAACAGAGACTGTGTACGCGAGACCAGCTTGGTCGAGATGGCAATGCACGTGGCCGTCTCGATCTTGTCACCGGTGAGCATCCACACCTTGACGTCGGCGTTACGCAGACGCTCCAGAGTGGTCTTGACATTGGACTGCAGCTTGTCCTCGACACCGGACAGGGCGATGAGCTCGAGGTTCATCTCGATGGTGCCGATGGCCTCCTGCACCTTGGCGGCACGGTCGGATATCGATGTCTTGGCATGGTTGTAGCGGTTCAGGAACTGCTGGTACTCCTCCTCGGTCATTGTACGCTTGGCAAAGGCCAGTGTGCGCAGACCCTCACGAGCCATGTTGCCCGACTCCTCGTCCAGCCAGTCGTTGTTCTGGACCAGCTTCGAGATGATGGCGTCGGCGCCCTTCATGTAGAATGTGATGACGCCCTCGACGTCCTTGACGATGATGCCCATGCGCTTTGTCTCTGAGGTGAAGGGGAAGATGTTGAGGATCTCGTATGTCTCCAGATCGTCCTGTGGCGTGCGAAGAGTGATTGAGGTGAGCTCACGCTCGGTCAACACGAGGCCAACCGACTCGGTGAACTTGACGAGTGCAATCTCGTCTGGACTCGATGCCTGATACTTTTGATTGTTCTCGGGTGCCGAAGACGATGATGAGTCGTCTTCTTCCTCCTCTACGTTCTCAGACTTGCGTGGTGTTTCCTTGATCTTCTGGTAACCAGTGCGTGAGCGGAAGATATTGAGGCTGCTGAACTTTGATGAAAGGCTGCTTGACTGTGGCGCTTCCTTGGCAATCTGGATGTTGTCTCCCTCGTTGATCTCAACATGTGCGTCATGACCATCTTGTGGCTGCTCACTCGACGTGGCGACAGGTGTGACATTGTGACAAAGTGCGATTGCTGTGATCACCTCTTTGACTCTTGTGCCAAGATTCCTTCTGTTCCTCACAGCAACCGAGTTCCTTGACGATGTGGCCGCTGAAGCAGGAGCATACGATGCTCTGAGCTCAGCTTGCAAGTCGCTAAGACTCTCCTTGGAGTATGATATTGAGCCCAAGTGAAGCTTCTTGAACACCATGTCTGTAAGTGAGGAGGAGGAGTGTGAGTCAGTGAGTGAGCGCAAGGGAAGACTATGCCAGGGACTCGCGATCCTTACCATTCTGTGTAAGTGTACCAGTCTTGTCTGTGAGGAGGTACTCAATCCTGCCAAGCTCCTCGGGGATGGTGGACGAACGAACGACTGTGCCTGGGATCTGCTTGTCATTCATCATCATGAGGGAGTAGGCAGTCTTGCCCAGGTCCAAGTTCACTCTCATACTGATAGGAATGATCGAAGAGAACAGCAAGATGTACCTAAAGAGGTAGATGTACCAGTAGCCGCGGAAGCCCTTCAAACAGATCATGACAAAGCCAAGGAAGCAGAGAAGAAGGAACAGCAACTTGGACATTGTGTTGATCTCATTGTCCAGCAGTCCGACCTTTGTGGCGGGCATGCTTGTGTTCATCTGACATCTACTCTCGCGTCCAGTGTACATCGCGCAACCAATCACATTGCCAGAGGCAACAACAGTGTTTGCCCAAAGTGTGTTCTCCACCGACACAGACTCTGTCTCATTCTATGATTGATTGATTGATTGATTAGTTGTTAGTGAGGGGTCGTCTCCCCAGTCCCAGGCATGCCATGGATACATACAGAGTCAGTCTTTGTAAAGTTGCCAATGAATGAGTAGATGTCCTTCTTGGGCTGTTCGGCAAAGATGGACGCTCTCATGTTGAGCAGCGCCTCGTCATTGGCCAACTTTTGAGTGATGTTGACCGATCGTCTGAGCTTCCAGTCAGTCTCGCCATCGAGTTGGTCCGTCCTGATGAAGGAGGCGCCATTCTTCTCGGTCGTTCGCAGAAAGAGGAGATCGCAGGGCACACGTTGGTTGGTCTCCACCTTGATCAGATGGCCAACGCGGATGTCCGAGCTTGGTATTGATACGTAGCCATTGGGCGTCAATCGCAGGTATTGCTGTGAGTTGGCTTCTTTGTCACGCTTGAATCGCTTGAAATCGTCGTAGGCTTCCTTGAGCAATGTGATTGTCAACACAAAGACCAATGGCGCCACGTATGTGAACATGTAGCCAACTTGAAGAGATGGGATGAACTGAGTGAGTGCCACAATAAGGAAGAAAAGATTGAAGAAGTACTTGAACTGTTCATAAAGGATGACAAAGACGAATGTGTAAACATTGTACTTTTGATTCCTGACGACGTTTGGAGGGAACCTAATTGATTGATCGATTGTGATTGAGTGTTTGGCGCAGTGAGAGTCAGTATGACTGTCATGTGATTGATCACATGACCAATCAATCAAACATACTTTGTCAACTGTTCATCCAACTCCAAGTTGATTGTTCTTGGTAGGTATATATGTCTTCTAAGTATGAAGTCTTTGACCTTTTGTCTAAAGGTCCTTGGGTCGACCTCCTATGTTTGGTTGATTGGTTGATTGAGTGAGTAAGTAAGTTGTCCACTCAACCTCATTCATGGCCAATCATTCATGTACTTACCGACAACAAGGGCATTGATTCTGACATGAGAGGCTTTGATTCGTCCAGCTCGTCCTGCTCCTGCTCCTGCTGTTGCTGCTCCTTTTGATCCAGCTTCTTGTTCTTGCCCTGCTTACTTGAAGTAGTAGTGGACCTCTGCTGTTGTCTTTGATGATGTACGTCTTTCAAATCTTCAATCTCTATATATGTACTATTGCTCTTGTTTAAATCTCTATTATAAAGTGAGTTGTTATTATCAATATTATATCCTTCGTCATCATCACCATCATCACCATCATTATTAAAACGATGTGACATGTTTGTTTGATTGGTTGATCAAATATATTTATATATTTATACACAAGTTATTGATTGATGGAYTGGACAAGATGTATGAATGAATATATGAATGGATGGATGATGGATGATGGATTGGTAGTGCGTAATTGAAGTCTCAATCAACCATTCGAAGGTTGTTGGTTGTTGTAAGGGGAGAGTCTTGGTTTGGCAAGCTTTGCCAAGATCTTTTGTTTTTTGATTGCGAGGCACTCTTGCATGCATAAACCGATGGGTCGCTTGCATTGACAAGTTATAAAGTCCATTCAATACTACATCTGTTACTCGACAATGATTGATCAAACGATACGATGAACGAATGATTGGATAGGTTGTTGATATTGCAGTGTCGTCCAATCAATCAATCAATCAATCAAATCTAATATAATCATCTAGATGTAATGATTGTTTGCTGGGAGTTCCTACCTTTATAAACGAATGATTGAATGAATGATTGAATGAGCTGTTCTGTTTTTGTATAAGATGAAGATGATGTATATATAAATAAATAAATGATACAGAGATATAATTATATTTGTAATTCAACCAAAGGTTGGAGATGCAACTGATACGAAAACAGAGTGATTGCGACAGAATCATCCTTTGAAAAAGTGTTTTGCAAGCAATGAACCCCAAAAGTTTGGGCTTCAGGACCCAGAGCACACATTGTTTGGTTCCCTGGACATCCAAGTCGGCGGGTCCACGCTCATACAAGTAAATGTGTGTAGTAATACATTGGGTAGTGTATTTATAAATAGGGAGTGGAGGAGGTCAGGCACATGTGATGATCCCAGATCAATCTTGGCATGGATCCAGTATGGTAATCCATTAGTGCGTTGGCATGAAGAAGAATAGGAATACAATTATAAGATAGACAATGCATAGTGTCGATCCGATGAAGTAGTTGGTCTTGCCATTGGCCAGCACAAGGTTCATCACAACAGCGCCAAAGAACACTGCATAAAAGTCAAGTGTTGGGAAGATCAGATTGAATGTCGGACTTCCAGAACTAAACAATGATGATGATGACAAAGGTGTCAGTCACATGATCGATCAATCAATTACATCAATGTGGTGTATAACTTACAAATGTGACATGATTGCAGAGATAAAGATTAGGACTGGAACTTGGAAGAGAGTGATTTGGACTGAGCCACATGCTCCAATCTCGAGTGCCAGTGGCATGTTGTTGTTTAGCGCGAATTGGACTGCGTTGAGATACTCGGCGGCAGTTGGTACCACTCCTAGGATGGTGATTCCAAGGAATTGTGGCGTGAGGTGGAATGCTTGGACGACGGGATCGATCGTGTCCACCAACTTCTCACTAACCAACGCGAACAATGTAGTGCAGAACAAAAGGATGACGATACACTGTGTCCTGGACCATTCGGACTCGCCCTCGCCCTCCTCTTCCTCCTCGCCGCTGCTGCTGCCACCATGGCTGTGGCCATGTGCGCCACCACCAGCACCACCAGTCACATTCTCAGTCTGATGAAGGATGTGACGATGGGTCTTGAGGGTGAAGAGAAGGCCAATGAAGTAGGCGATGGGCAAAACAGCACTGACGGCGTACTGTAGCGAGCGCGCCTTGTTGAGGTAGATCGGGTCGTTCTCAATGTTGGCCTGGAAGTACTCGCAGACTCCACATGAGATGCTGCCGGCCAATGATCCGTCACCGCCAGTTCCACCAGTGGTGCACTGTGAGCATGTGAGCTGGTAGCTGCCAAACACCTTGTAGAGAACGGTTGGCGAGAAGATACCGACGATGGCCACCATCAGCAGCACCATGCTGACGCCCATCACAGAGTGATTGAATCGTTGCTCCTTGTGCTTGAGACCTCCGACGACCATCGCCAGGCCAGGGATGAGGAGCATGGCGCCCATGAGTGAGCCGGTGACGGCGGCACGGGCCACATCAACCTGGCCCTTGTTTAGCGAGGCAACGTATAGGATCAACTCAATGATTGATCCGAAACTAGTGTTGATCAGTGCGCCAATTGCAAAGCTGGTCTGTGCTGAAAGACTGGCAATGGCTTTACAATTGTAGTAAGACAGGGGGATGGTGGAGAGGATACAACACAAGAAGATCACCGTTGGATGAATATGCTCCTCAAAGAAGTATCCAAATATCAATGATAATATGACGAATGGAAGAAGGTCTGAGTGATTGAGTGAGTTAGTGTGAGTGGATGAGATGGAGTGGAATGATTCCGGATGATCAATCACTTTGAGATACCTACTGACCAAACAAACATTCATTCCACTGACGTTGAACTTGTAAAATTGTAGATTGATGGCCTCAACTGGATACAGGACGATGACAGAGTCAGTCCTGGGTGATTGAGTCTCAACTCTCAGTCCAAGAGGGTCCACAAACAGGTTGTGAAGTATCTTGTGATGCATCTAGTGTAGGTTGGATGAAGGAGTCAGCAGACATGTCATGCGACAGCATTCAGAGTGTGATCGCATGCATACCTTGGCAGTTGGTATCATTACAACAATGAACCATGAGAACATCATGAATAGACCTTGGAAAATGGCAAGGATTGGTGCGCCGATTAGATAGTATACAACCATTCCAACTCGGAGTGATGTGGATTGAGGTAGTATGAATGATGGATTGTTTCCAGATGCCTTCAATGGTTGTTTCTCCGATGAATCACCAGTCTGTCTATTGATCCTTCGCTGGAAATATTTTCCAAATGGCCAAAGTACAAAGTCCTTTAACTTCCAAATAACATTGCCATAAGGTATTCCAAAGTATGATATACTTGGAGTTTGGTTTGATTGATGGAAGATCAGTGAGAGTGTGAGTTATAAGTTGAGTTTGCCATGTGATTGATTGAATAACACTTACAATAATATAATGCTAACGATTGCAAACACAAGGTATAATATCCAACCAAAGAGTATGGCATATATGTAGTTTCCAACAGAGTTTAGACTCTTTTGAACGTCTACTTGAGAGGCGGGCTCACTGTAGAGACCGCGTGTGAGTGGTGATCGATCCTGTAGACGCTTCTTTGAAATGTGACTCTTGAATGGACGGAAACCAAACATATGATTCTGGAGTATGTGCTTGGCCTCGAGCGCATTGGTACCTGGGGCAATACCAAGATCTTCATAAGTGATTGGCTGATCAGGCACCGACTCAAAGATTGACACACGTTTGGTTAGTGTGCCACCTCCAAGGTCTACTCCGCCAATCGTTCCAGTGGTCCCACGTGCTGGTGTTGACTGTGGTGTCATTGTACCGCCGCTGGACACTGGACCACTTGGGTTATTGTTATTGATCGATTGGTTCTCTGGAATGGGTACATAGACCACGTCCCCATCTTCATCAGAGAGGTCTCTATCCAATCTGTTGTAAATATGTATATTTGATTCTGACATTCTTGTTTGTAGTTTGTTGGTTGTTATAGCAAAGTGATTATTGTGATGATCATTTGTGAACTTGATGATCTATCTCTACTTCTCTCTGTCTGTCTCGCTGACTATCTCACTGTTTCGCTGTATGTCTCACTGTCTAACTACACTCTGTCTTTGCTTGTTCTAAAGTACAACGTCAGTTCAGGTTCGTGATCATTGCCTCCCTCTGTCTCTCCCACTCTTATTGTTCAGAGTATTAAGATTCATCATTGCAGCGAGGATACTAGAGTCGTAGGTAGAGGACTCTACACCTTGTCGAAAAGTCGGCGGAAGGTGTATTGATTCGTTTGGACCTGGAACAAGGCATGCAAAGGCCTCTGTACAAGGTTTGCACAAAAAAATGATACCCTTTGTGTGGTTGTGATGTTGTTGCTTTTGCAAAAGATATATTAGAATCGAATCTGATAAATGATGAAGCGTCATAGTTCCATCTTTGGAATTCTTTGATTTAATTAATAATATTATTTATATTATATAATATAACAAAGAATAATAATAATTCCTCTTTCTTCTTTGGAAGGAATATTTGGATTGGATTCTGGTCTATCTTTGTAGGCCAATATTTGATCCAATGTTTCAATTTCCTTGGTGTATTCCAATGAAAGCTATATTGTTATTATTATTAAGTTAGAATATTATCTTTTGGAGAATCCAATAATAATTAAACATACAACTATGCTTTGGACCCAGATAATTCTGTGCCAGTTCGAATAAATGTGATATAACAATTGGATTGGATAGACCATAGGCTTTGAACACTTTGATAAATTGTGGATAGGACTCTGAGTTCTCATAAGCAGAGATCAAAACACTTCCATCAATATCAATACCAATATCACCAATATTCAATTTCATTTCCTTTGCAATCTCACTCTTTGTAGTGGCCTGTTGCAAGATGAAATGGTCTATCATTCTTTAAATATATCTTTATATAAATATAATATAATATTATTAATATTAATTTAGTATATAAGTATAAATACAACTATATATACAAATTATCTATATATAGAGAGATAATAACAAATAGTTAATTTATTAACTATCTAAAGAGGTATCTTGTTGATGTTGATAATATTATATAATTAATTTCGAGGAAAGGTATGAGTGATTAATTAATGTTGTCATATCATATCAATATCAACTAAAACATATATAACGCCATATTCGTATAGATGCACCAATAATAATAATGCATATGCACACTAGATCTACAACACTCATAATGGTACTCTGATCTCTTTGTGAACTTGCCTGTCTGCCAACTTGGTCCAAGCAACAAAGTTTGAGTGCTCGAATGCGAGTGACTAGACAAAATGAGTAATGTGGTAGTGGAGGACAACCAATCAATGAAGTTAAATAGCCCACAAACACCATATTCATTGTCCGCCATCTATTCACAATGTCAATTGTCATTATAATAAGACAGTTTGCAGTCTACAATACATTATAGTTTAGTTCAGAACAATATGAGTGGATAGAAACCAAGTGACATCTCCGCAGCTGTCTATATTGCAGGCATTATGGATGTGGTTGTTWTTKTTGTTGTTGTTGTTGTTGTTGTTGTTGTTGTTGTTGTTGTGGTTGTTGTTGGTGTGGTGGTGTTGTTGTTTTG